TCCCCCTGTCCTCAGCATGAGAAACATCAGTGTATTTATTATCTATACACATCACTGTCATCACCTTTTATTTACCTCTGGTTTTAGCATGCTTTATAAATGGCCACTCATTCCTGTGTCCACACATGGAATACTGGTATACAGTACTGGTCCTTGGACATGCTTAGTTTAACACAGCTGGTGCGTGTACTTGGAAACTAATGTCAATTAATCCTTAAAATATTCATAACTAATTGGGGGGTGGATTCCAACATTTTTCAGACCAAGAATGGAAATGAGGTTTTATTTGCCTGAAGTAGGCTCATTTCTACGTCTTCAAAAAACTTTGCTATTTCAATCCCCTTCTCAAATTACATGTTAGCTTGTGAGTGAGAGAGGCCAAAGTGCCTACTAGCAAGTGTCTACAGAAACCTCTGCATTAAAAACATAAACGATGTCTGCTCTCACTGGGGTATTTTTTCATGTCTAATTTCCTTCCTTATTTTGTTTCACAATCCTCCAGAGGCACAAAGGTTCATAAAACATAAAGTTGTTAATAAAACAATGCCTTCATGGTATAAATTTAGCGTTCAAGCTTTTGTCACTCAGGATGTTACTACAGTTGGGAAAAATGGTGCTTGTGTGTTTCACCCCTTCCCACCTTCTCCACGCACCCACCGGCCACTGCCTGTAGCACGACGGGTGCTGGCCCTCCCTTTGCTCTGCTGGAGGAACGACAAAGTCAAAATGGGCAAAAGGGAGCAGCACAAGCTCAAGATTTCACACGCTTGGGTGCTCTCATTCCCGTTGTCTCTGACATCTTTCCTACTCTTCCTCATTTTTTTTTTTTTTTTCCATCTGTATTCTGTCTGTACCTTAAGCCTTCCTTTTTTTGTTGTGTCTCCTAATCGCCCTGCCCACCTTTTCCCAGAGTCCTGCCATCTGTTTCCTACCCTCTGTCCCCTGTGAGAGCAGGGGAGTCTCCTGGCTCTGGCACAGGGAGGCTCCCAGGACGCACAGGTGGTGCTCGGGCTTTCCCTCTATTTTCCAGAAAACCCGCTGGCCCTCTCTCACAGTTGGGAGCAGATGGTCTTTCTGTAAAACCCCCAGGTGTCTGGCTCTCTTGCAGGCACAAACATGTGGCCTGAGAGCAGCTGCCCTGGAATTTTCAAAAAGGAGCAAAAGGAAAGAAGGTTGTTTTGGGTTGATTTTTTTTTTTTTTTTTTTTTTTTTTTTAATTAGCACCTTTCTGTTTAAATGAGAGTTTGAATCCTATCCACTCATTTCAGCTTGTGTGTGCCTGTCTGCCAGGAGTTGTCCCAGACCTAAGTGTTTGCATCCTAGGTCATAGGAGGACACTGTCTTGGTAAGGTCAGCTAATAAGCTTGGGTGGACCCAGCAGACTTTCTTCCCAGCCATCTAGGAAGGACTTGTGTCATCCCAGTGAGCTAGCATATGGAAGCCTTCACATTCCTGCTTATGCAGTTGCACAGGGAACTCTACTACCTTATTAAATTAGCACAAATCAAGCCTTTTGAAAAGCACCATAGAATCATTCACTGCTCAGGAGGCATGACTGAATTGGGGATAAAGATAGTTTGCTTTTGTTCAACATGCATTACAGGATAAAGGCACTGTCCTGAGTGTAGAATTTAGCTACTGTGCTGTGTAATAATCCTAAATGTGCTTCCAATTCACTTAGTAACCTTGGACACTCCACTTAAGTGTGTGGTATCTTAGCTCTCCTGTGGGTGAGATGTAAGGGGAGAGGGGTAATTAATCCCTTCCTAGCTCATTCTGAGGTTTAATTGAAAACTCTCTCTAAAGCACTTTAGATTGGTAGAGAGTTTTTTTTCATACTTATACCCTATTTCTTCTAAAAATCTCTTGTAAATATTGTTATTCTACAAGGCTTTATAATGTTATTCAAGCCTAGCTTGAGTGTGAGTGATCTTGGAGTGCCTTAATGCCAACAAAGTGTCTCCATCCCATGGGAAACAATTTCTGAATGAAAGCCTAAGGAATTGAACTCTTTAGAACAGTCACACATCATCTTCTGAAATGCTTGTGTGGCTGGCAGGGGAGATCTGCTAAGTAGACATTTCAACCTTAAAAGTGTTTCTAGTGGGTTGTACAATCTTATTTTTATTACATGTGCATAGCACGTCTGCAAGCATAAAAGAATTTATTAAAAAAGAAATCTTGGAAAAATCCTGACAGCTAAGTTTCCCTTGAGAGTTGCTAGCGGGGAGAGCAGGCTGCCAAATGTTAGCTTTAAAACAGTAGCAGACTAATAATTTCATGATGACCTCAAGTCTTCTAATTTCTCACTCCTTTTTGTAAACTCTGGCCTGACCTTCCCTGCCAAAGGGGCTTGCTGTGCCTGCCTCAGCTTCTTTTCCTGATGGGAGGGCCCAAGTGGGGACAAGGTCTCGGAATGGTGTTTCCAATGGCATCTCCCTGGTGGGCGAACAGGGTTGGCCTTGCTGAGTTACTCTGCAGTAATAGCTGAAGATGTTTAACCTCACAGGGTCATGCAGCACCACCAACACCCATTTGTTATCTCATGGAGAGAACAGCAAAGCCTACTTACTACCTCCAGTGCAGAGAGGTGGGGTGTGGTTTGAACGGCTTAAGTAGCTCGCGTGTCTTTAGAATGGTGTAGACGTTCTCACTGTTGGAAAGTAACCCTGATGTTTTCTGAAATGAGTAAACTAGGCTCACCCTGAGGATTGCTGTGATGCCGTGTTGCACAGACTGGAATTTATGGTCAACAGATGGAGGTGCCCAGGGCGCACAAGGGTTAGAGCACTTGTCTGGTGGGATCGGGAGCAAGCAGCCCGGTGGCCACTCCTTCAGTCTCTCAGGGCAAAGATGTTCTAGCCTGAGTTAGTTTGGGAGAATAAGACACACACACTTGAGTTACTTGCCCTCCGTAATTTAGCAACTTGCTCTTGTGACCCGCAGGCATGTTCTGCATTTAATCCCTGATCTGCATCTGCTCTGAAGCTGATGCAGAATGAAACCCAATGCTGAAACTAATAAGAACTCAGTTTTGTGAAAAAATGTCTTCTGACCAAACTAAGTGTCTCCTTCGGCTCTCGGAGGAACTGTTCATGAAGTAATAGATCTTTTTTTGTTGTTGCTGAGGTTTTTTTTTTTTTTTTTGTGACACTCCCTACATTTAAGGTTGTGTTATTCAGAATGATACAGAACAATCAGATTTTCACAGACTGAAGTACTATTTTACATTAAGTTGTAATTTTTCAGAAAAAAAGTTAGTCATATATGCTGCTAGGTATGGGGAGAAGAGTAATAATGATTGTACATCTGTCAAAAACAGTTCTACAATATTCTGCAGGGAAATAAACAATATTCTGTTTACAGGGTGAAGTGTGAACTAGCACTTTTTAAATATGTCTGTGTCTGCAGAAAAGAATAATTTCTGCTTTCAACATCCTAATGATTAATAATGTGGGACTTAGATATTGAGAATTCTAGTGTTGATTTTTACAGTGTACTGATAATTTCTGTAGAGCATTCTTGAAACATTTTAAAGATCAACATTCTTAAAAGTTGTTGAAAAATTATTTAACAAGTAAGGTATTTAAAGACTAGTTTCAGGCATTGGTGTGCCCTAAAATCGAGAAATCAGAAAACAAGTTATTTCCTGAGCTGCCTGCATATGGCCATGCTGGTTTGCAAGGTTCTGAGAATGGAAGTAACCCCGGTGGTAATTTAGGTCAGCGTGCCTTTGTGTGTCCGGGGGGCTGCAGCAGCTTGACTGGTGAGTCAGTTTAAGTCCAGATCCCCGGCCTTGGGTCCTGCACGTGCCCCTAACTTTCTGCCAGCGCGGCCTTACAAAGGCATGGTGTCGGTGGAGGAGCACAGTTGTGCTCAGAAATTGTTATCTGTTTAGTGACGGGAGCAATTGAACACCCAAGTAAAGCACGATATAAAATGGAAGTGTTTATCCTACAGTGTATGTGCTCTGTGTCAGAAAGCATGCAGATATATAGGGATGAGAGAAAACCGTACGTGGCCTGTTCCTCTTTCCTCCTCTTCCCCCAGCGTGAGTGAGGACAGGCTTTTCCTGAATGTGACTCCATGATTTTTTATTTCCTCGTCGATGCTCCTTGCCTTCCATCTCCCTTTGTCTAGCTTCGATATACACAATTTTCTTTACCACCCAATAAAATCCCCACATGAATCTTGTTGAGACAAGACCAGGGCTTGGCTCAAAGCCCCCGCAGTTCCCCTTGTGCAGCTTGAGGTGGGCGGCAGGGCTGCTGGTCGCAGCAGGATTCCCCGCAGGAACAACCTGCTCGTGTCTCCTCCCCTCCCTGGCTCCCCGAACATATGGTTAGCTGCATATTCTCCCTTCTCCATCACTCATTTTTTTATCCCCCTTAACACATGGGGTTTGCGCTCCAAAGTGTGAACAGGCTTTGATGCGGAACAGAGGCAGAATTTATTTGCTAAAACATCTCTTGGAGAGAATTTATGTGCACAGAATGGCATTCAGCTGTGGGAAGTCTGAGTGGCAACTCTTTAATAGACAGGGAATTTAGGACAAGTTCTTTGAGAGTAACCTTCCTTCACTTCTGCTGGTTTTGTTTTGTTTTGGTGGGGCTTTTTGGAGGGGGGAAGATGTGGTGGTGGTTTGGTGGGCTTTTCTGCACCCTTGTTAATCACAAAACGAGGGACACATTGGGAATATGCATTGAAGTATATAAAGGATTTTTTTTTTTTTTTTCCTGCATTGGTCAGGAAAGCCTCAGAAATCGTAGGTGAGCGTAGCATATCAAGGAAAAAAAGTCCTGCTGGTTTGGGGATTTTAAATTAATCTATAAGAACTGTACTGTTACATGGAAAGTATGGTAACATTCTAATGGGCACACATATATTCTTCAGGTGCTTGTTCAAAGGTCTTCCCTTTTCAGGCAGGTATTTTGGAGAGGATCACTTGTGAGCGCTTAATTTGTTGTACACATACACTGATTCCCTTTTTTCTTCTTTAGGAAAAAGTATGGATGAAATTAAGAAGCTGCTGCTGTTGGTTCTGGGATGTGCTGTGCAGGTGAACATTCATTAAAGGCTTGGAAAATAAGATTTTATTTTTTTTTTTTAAACTGTTATTTTTCTTTGGACTGAGGAAATCCACCCAAAGATCAGTGCTGTATAAACAAATTTCCATCTCCAGACAGCTTGTGAGCTGAAACTGTGAGAAGATACAATAGGTGAATGAAAGAAAGGCAGGGGAAAGGATGCCCACTTTGTAATAGCAGTAGCCTCAATTTGTTGCCAGGGCTTAATCAGCCACAGGATATGTACTCTTGCAACTAAGTAGTCCACTTTGATAACAACGTGGGAAGAGATAAGCTTTGAACAGTGTTCTTGATATCAAGATTGTTGTTGGTTTGTTTTTGTACCGTTTTAAAATACGGAGTGGAGCAGTACATATTAATGTCAAAAAGATAAGCTAACAGTCTATTTGTTTAATTAATCCTGATTTTATTTGAATAATCTTCTGATTTAATAATACATGTAGAAAATCTGAAATGAACAGATGTGGGGATTTTTATGTGGCATTTGTTAAAATAAATAGGCAGGCAGTGTATATGGGAAACTCCCCAGAAATGCACGACAGTTACCAGATAAAGAAATCAGTGTTCTCCCCACCAAACCTCTGTGGCAGTAAACAATGGATGTGTTGCAGGGCTAGCCTTTGCTTATAATTGACCTTGTTTGTAGGTCTTCCTAGTGCTTTTGTCATGCCTTAGTACACTTAGCCTGCTCAGCTATGTCAAGTCAATTATGTCAGGGTAAAGCTGTCTACATAGGGCTGCTCTGAACTATCTCAGTGTTGCATTGCAACACAAAGAGTAAAGGTCTGATTTGGCAAGCTGCTGCTCAGGCCCCATTTACGGGTCTGAGGTTCTTTGCAGCTAAAGTAATGGTTGAGACTCAGAACCGGGTCCCAAAAGGACGCTGCAAAGGAGTTTAAGAAAAACTTTAAGTAATGCTTAACTTCTCCACTTGGTGGAATTGTTACAAGAAGGAAGTAATGTTGTTAGTGTACAATCACAAATCTATAGATAACAGGTGCCTGCCTTCTGCCTCTTTTAAAGCCTTAAGTAAAAGATTTACTAAAATCTGTTTGTCTGAAATGTCACTCGTTTTCATCCAGAATGCTTCCCAACCCCACTCTTTATCTAAATCACATGTTGATATAGTCCAACAAGCAACTATGCGTTGATGTAAATAATATCTAAAGTGATGCATCTCTTCTCATTGCCAAAGCCAAGCAAAATGCAAACAGCAAAGCAGACAGGTTAAATGATGTAATGTAAATTTAGGTTTACATTTGTGCAGCTCCATTAATGAAGCTGTGATGATTTCTTCTGGCTGTTGCCCCACCTCTTTTTCTCATTATGTGTTGAACTTATCTTTAGAGAGCAAAACCAGCCATTTAACTTAGCCTTAATTGTACTGACTGTAAGATGTTTAAAATGCATAATTTGGTTCGTGCTCCATATGGAACAACGAAGTATTATACCTTCTAGTGTGACAAAGCGTAGAACTTGAGCATTTTGTCATTAGTAATGTGAAGAATTTTTTTTTATTTAAATGAAAAATGGTGCGGTAAGTTTTAGGATATGCAGTACTGTTTCAGAGTGTGTTTTCTCTTAACAGTGTGAAAGAAAAGAAGAGTTTATTGAAAAAATAAAACAACTGGATATTGAAACCCAAGCTGCCATTGTGTCACACATTCAGGAGGTGGGACTTCCAGTATTGTCTATTTTGACTTTTTATCTCTCCCTTCCTTGACTTAACAGGGTTTTTTTTTTTGCTATGAAATATAAATGCTTGGAATTTCAGAATGGATTCATGAACTTCACTAAAAAAAAAAAAAAGATTGGCTATGTTATTGCAATCAAATTATCAGATGAAAATGATAGGCACTGGAAACATTACTTGGCTCAGTGGTCTCTTAAAGAGATGCAGTGGTCAATGCCTTGCTTGTCAATTATAGGCTATGTAGAAGGAATTGTTGTAAGGGTACGTGTGTAATACTTCCATAAAGCATGTACAGCTTGGGAGCTGCAGTGCTCCTTGCAGGAGTGGTTTGGGCACGGAGTCCCCAAGTCCTGTGCTACGTGAGACACAGGCTTCCCATCAGCTTGATTTGGACAGTGGCCTCCGAGCTCAGGTGGTCTTGAAAAACCATGCTCTGCAGTTGAAATTGGGTATATACCCTGTTTTCAAAGAGAGGTTTGATCCAATGATGAGTATTGTTGGACTTCTAAGGTTTCTGCAGAGGGAAGGAATACAGGTGGGTGTTAGGAGCCAGCGTACTTTGGGGACCCAAAGGAGAGCCCTGTGGAAATGGACCCTGCTGAGTGCTCCTCGCTGGAGCGGGCACTGGCTGCAGCCAGGTGTCAGTGCCTGCAGGTGGAGTACACTCAGATTTGAGGAACAAATCTTGAAAGTCTGACAGGAACTTTTTTCTTAACACTTATAAAAACAGTTCTGCTTTTTTTTTTTTTTTTTTTTTAAAAAAAAAAAATCTGATGACCTTAGCACATGGTTATGACAAAGGCAGGAACAGTCTTCAACTGAGCTTGAGAGACTTGCCTGACATTTCTGCTAAATGATTCAGAGAAAATCAGTTTGGGTAAGATAGCAGTTGAAAGGTACACTGCTAGCAGCAACCAGAGACATTTCTACTAAGGGTGGCTCCTCCCAGCTGTATCAGCTGCAAACTGCAAATTCATTGAAAGCAGAGCTTCTTATCAGTGAGACACTGGCCTAACTGTTAGTGTGGGATCAGTGCCTTCAAGTCCCTGTGGTGATCACCTCTGTGCTTGCGATAAGACACGTGCATACTTCTAATACGCAAGCACATGTGATGTTGATCATAATATGTATCTGATCACTTCTAAAAATCAGCCATAATAATTATTAAAAAAACCTAAATACAGGAAATTGCTGGGTAGTGTTACAGCTGAGGTAGTTGTTTGTTATTTACAATCTGGTTTTGGTGAAATGTGATATGTTTTTTAATTGATCAGTAGAAGAACCTGAGGGATGCAGCATATACAGCTAACAAATTTATAAATAAACAAGTGGAAAGACATTTTTTTTTTTGATACTGTTCCTAGGTGACTCACAACCAGGAGAATGTCTTTGACTTGCAGTGGCTGGAGCTCCCAGATATGGCCCCAGAAGAACTGGAGTCTCTCTCGAGGAATATGGTTTTCCACCTCAAGAGGCTCATTGATGAAAGAGATGAATGCACCGAAGTATGATGACTTACCTCTCCTATCTAGAGCTCATGTGAAGCAGCAGATGCAGGCTCCATTCCTTCTCTTGTCTTGTTTGTGCACTGGTTTTCTTATGCGCTTTTCTACTACACCTCTGAAAATATGTAGAAAGATTCTGACTTTTTGATTGATTTTTGCATAAACACTAAGATGTGGTGAAATGATCAGTAATGAAGAGTGGAGTTGGTCTCTCCATGAAGTAGAAACCAACATATTTGAAGTTGTGACTTTGTCTTGAGATTTTTGTCTGTGCATGTCTGCTCAGTCATTTATCTTTGAGTGACTGCTTGCCTGTCTCTCCGTTGGTATCTACCATTGTGGGTTCCAGTGTCTTCTCTAGTTTTTTTCAGCATGAAGGTGGTCCTGTCTGTTGCTGACTGATCAGTTCCCTTCCCTTCAGATCTCTGGAGGAGGCTTCTCCCCTTCTTTAACCAGTTAGTCTTCTGTCATGATTTTGACTGTAATTGTGTTAGTTAAAACCGTTAGTTGTTACAGGTTTTTATGAATTCTCCAAGCAAAATAGACTGATTATTTTGAGCATTGGAAAGGGAATGTTTTAATGGTCTGAACATAGTGGAGATTCCTTTCCTCCTCTGTGTAACCTTTCCTTCTGGCTGTCACTTGAATTCTGTGTAATGCCAGGCTAATAATTTTCTACATTTATAACTCATTTTTAGATATTTGAAAACCAGTGTATCATTGTACGCTTTATCCTTTGACACTACATACTTCTCTCTATTTCCAGGTCATTGTAGATCTCACTCAAGAGAGAGATTATCTGCAATCTCAACAACCACCAAGTCCTCTGAAAGCACCAAGTCCAGATTCTTCACCAAACCCAGCCAACCCTCTTTCTAATGAAGACAAGCAGCACCTTGCAGTTGAGCTGGCAGACACGAAGGCTAAATTGAGAAGAATCCGGCAGGAGCTGTGAGTCACCAGTAATTTGTGCTTCTAGAGAGACTTGTGTATTAAGTCTTGTGGGTCCTGAAAATGCAGGTGCCTGTTGGCTTCAGTACACTGGCCTCCATGGGGACTCTCAGAATCATGTTTTTCAAATTTTTTTATTCATAGCAGTAGGAAGCTAGTATGAGTGCTCCATCTTTCTTCTTTCTTAACTGGTCTTTAAACATAGTGATGACTACTTCCATTTTTCTTTTTGTGTCTCACCTCTCTCTTCCCCTCTTCAAAATGCCAACTGCTAGCTGTACTTCTTAATTTTTAGTGGGAAGTCCAGAGGCTGGTAAAAGTAGCTATGACAGCAGTAGCACCAATGAGATTTAAACAGAGGTACTTAGTATAAAAATAGGGTTGCAAACTCAAATCCATGATAAGTGTATGGTATCATGAGAAAAAAAAACCTCTTGCTTTTATGAAGCTGTCATGATAAAGAGGCTCTATGTTAAGAATATGGTAGGAGTTTTCTGTTTCCCTTTTCAGATTCCCAGCACTGTCCATATAATCAATATTGTTTCAGGAAAAAAAATAATTCTTACTAAGATTTTTCTAATTCTTTTCAGGGAAGAGAAGTCTGAGCAGCTTGTAGATTCTAAACATGAAGTCGAGCAGCTCACCCTAGAGCTGCAAAAAATAAAACAAGAGGTAAGATGGGTTTGTTTTACTGTGGCAGTCTTCCCTCTTTAAAAAAACCTCTTTCACTGTGAGGCTAAAAATACTACTATGCCTATTTTTTAATGCAGAAATCAAGTTACACCAGCAAGCTGTTCGATGATTATGGCTATGGCATAGCAATGCTACCCTTTCCACTTCACTGGTGAGAGCAGTCTCATCTGTTCAGCTTGCAAATAGCCTAGTAATGCCCGAAGCTTATGCAGCGTCAGGCATTAGAAATGTCAGAGTCTTAACAGGCTGAAGAACCTCTCTGTCTTGTAGAGAATTTACTGACTAGTAGAAGTCTCCTACTCCTGAACCGGGGGAATGCTATTTGCCTACGCTTAAAATAAGCAAGTAAATAAATAAAGTGTAAAGAACATGCTTTAAAGGATTAACTAAGATTTTTCTCACTGCTTATTCCTCACTTGTCACAGAATATCCACCTGGCCTCAGATGCTCGCTCTGCACGAGCATACAGAGATGAGCTTGACTCTCTGAGAGAGAGGGCAAACCGTGTGGAGAGACTTGAGATGGAACTTGTTCGGTGCAAAGAGAAGCTACATGATGTGGATTTTTACAAAGCTCGCATGGAGGCAAGTGAAAATTGAGAGAAAGATTTGCGGAGTAATCCTTGATGTTTAGCTTTTGTTGTGTTACCAGTCCATGTGTCCTTTGTCATTGATCTGATTATAGCAAAACATCAGAGCACGTGGAAGTTTCCTAACGTATGTCACAGTATTGGCTTAGCAACATTAAAACTACTTTCAGTGGCAAGAAGGACTTGGTACACAAAAAATAAATACCCATTAGTTTTAATAATTCCTGCTTAGCTCAGCATTGTGTGGCTAAACAGGACAGACCTTTTCAGGATGCTGCTTCTAGAGAATCCAAGCCTCTAGTCTAGCCTAGAAAATTTACTCTTAGGTAAAATGCCTGTGTTCCAGAGTTGTTCCTTTGACCAACATTTCAGATGTCACGTATAAATTAGCTAAATGAATGTCTGGGTGTTTTTCCTTAGGGGTTTGTAGCAGATGCAACTGTTGTTAAAATGGGTGGACATGGCCTCAGATGACAAATTCTAGCCACCCCTTTTTGCAACTGTTGCTTGTAGTAGAAAGCAGAGAAAATTTGAATCTTTTCTAGTGCCCTGAGTAGGGTATGACAATGAGAAATGTATAGCTTTGCTCCAGTAGTAATGCCAGTTACTCAACTCAGTCACCTGCAGCTATGCCCATCTTGAAATTATTAATTAACTTAGGTTGGAAAGGACCTTGGAGATCATCTAGACAAACTCATTGCTCACATCATGGCTGACCGTAAATTTAGATGAGACTGCTCTTATTTCCTGTTCTTTCAGTTCTTTTAGCCCTTCTCACCTCAACTCTCAATAATCTACATATGTAGCACTTCAGCCAAAGTCAAATAAATACCCAGACTTGGTGAACATGTGGAGGTTCAGTAATTGACAACCTGACTATAACTGGATAAAATCCCAGGTCTGAGGTAGAAGAGTGATGTTGAAACTCACATTTGCCAGGTCTGTGGCTGAGGACACAGACCTTATTTCTGCTTTATAACGTCTACTTTGTAGGTGATTTTTTTCTCCCTCTCTAACCTAAGGGGCCAGCTAGCTGCTGCTTCTTAGGAGTAGGTTCACTAAAATGCATGGTTGTTAAGTGTTGTAATAGCCTACAAAACTCTGTCTTCCCTCTCAGTAATTCCCAGTTTGCTTTAGGAAGCATGAAGCTCTGGCTCTCTCTGTTTTCCTCCCTCAAGGTAGCAAATCAGTCGTGCATTAACCTGGCACACTACCTATCAGTGTGACATCCTGGCATTTCCCTTTTGGCTGTGTGCTGGAGTTGCTTAGCTTCTACCTGCTGCTCAGATAATTCAGCTGGAGCTAGGAGAGGAGTTTTTTAGTCTTGTCTTCATCTGAGATCAAAGGAGTAGCTATTTCTGTTCCTGAGTTCTCAGCCTTCTTGCTTGTCCTAGAGCCAGCAGTTTCCTGCTCTGCTGTTTGCATGCTAATCTTGCTTAACGTATCATTCAGTAGAGATCTCCATTTCAGTTTCAAATTTGTTCCAAATTTCCTCACTCCCTCTTCCACCTGTCAGTTTTTGGTGAAAGTATTGAACATCAGAGATGAGTGCTGTCTTTCCAAGGTTACCTCCCTGAAATACAGTAGTGGGATAAAGAATATTTCCCGTCAATATGGCGCTTTTCTAATTCTGGGCCACAGTGGGGCCTCTAGCAGAAATTGTCACTGCTGTAGGGGCTGAGCCCTTCTAATATGCAGCAGGATTACACAGCTGTCTGCAGGCTGCTCTGTGGTCTAGAATAGCCAGAGAGTTTCACGTTCTCACCACTCCCTCTTCCATCATTGACCAAGTCTTGGCACAGCTATGGGCTGCCAGTGTTGAGCAGTGGCAGCATTAGGCAAACTCCACTGGTTTCATGCTGATACATTCAGAGGATTCCACAGGGCATCATTTTGTCTTTTTTACAGTCATGGAGTAGCACAAAGGCTGTGCATAATAGCCAGTATCTAACTTTCCATGGTCCCTCAGTTTTTTGTCTTATCTGTCTCAAGTTCTCCGTCCCTCCAAAAGAAGGGTTAATGGTTGGAGTCAGTTCCGTGTCTGCTCAGAGTCCTCCCACTCCCTCAAAGACTTACAATTTGGCTTACAATTCCAAGTTACAAGGTTTGTACAGAGTTGTAACATGGTAGAGATTTTTTCCACTGGACAGTACAGTGCTGATTCATCTCATGGCATTTACTGGTTATGGCTGGCTTCCTAAGCTCTAGGTCTTAAGACCTGAACAAATCTTAGAGGCACATCAGTGAAAATGTAGGTGCATAAATTACGGCATAAGCCACTTTTCTATGGTAATGTGATACCTTAAGGCTTGTAGGGTCTTGACACAATTGTTAATAAGCAGTGCCAAATCGGTAAGTGAGAAGAAAAAGTGGTTTTACCTTTGTGCATCAGTGCAGAAAGCTATTAAATGAGCATTTAAGAATCTTTTCCTTCTTGTAGTTCATATATGCATTCGTTAGTTTGAGCAAAAAAATACGGAATATGCTCTGTGTATGATACTGTGGCAAGCTCTAGGAATTGCAAGCAAGTTTACAAGTACTTTCTGAAAGCACATAATACGAATCAGCAGTGGCAACAAGAAGGGATTTAAGGAGCTGTTGCAGGAGGGGGAGTGCAAAGAGGGGCAAGTCTTTATGTGGATGTAACACATTTTAGGCATGTGTGTTTTTTTCCTTCTCTGTATGTCTTGACAAAGTTATTCAGAAATGACATTTTAATTTTACCATCTTTCGAGGAACATGGATATGAGTATGCTCTGGAGACCTTCCTGTTGGGGTGGCTTAATGAGGTCATAACTGTGAATGTGGAGGAGCAGGCTTAATGCTAATGCAGGGTTTCCTCCAAGGAGATGCTTCTCTACAATATAAAGCTTCCCTCTGGCATTCCTCTCCATTAAACCTTGTGCTGCTCCAGGACATCAGATTATTTTCCGAGGCCAGGGAGTCTGCCTTGCCCGTTCTTCCTCCTTCTCACTGCAATCACATTTCCTTGCGGGATGATGGGAGGAATTTCTGTGAATGTGAAAAAAAGCAAAAGCATCTCTTGTATGTTTTCATATAGCTGTCCAAGGCCGTGTTTGATCGCCACAAGATGTTAACTGTGTCACAGCTCAGTAGAGGCAGCTTCTGAACTACCAGAAGGGGAGGGGTTTGAACTCTGTCTAATAACTAAGTCAGGATGTGTGTGCAAATTCTGTAGTTTCAGATTTAAACAATCTGATTGCTACTTTAGTTTCTGAAAATGTTTTCCAGTAGCCAACACACACTGATTGTGCAACCACTTACCCCCAGAGTTAATTGTAACCATATGAGTACACAGTGCACATTCTTAAAGCTATTTCAAGGCACAGTGATACAGGATCAAACCATAATATGTAATTTATTTTAGAAATTACAAAAGCAGAATTACATATGTTGGATATTAAACCACCACAATTTAAGTGATATAAAACAAAAGTTTGTTGGGGTTTTTTTTTGGTTTTTTTTTTTTTTTTTTTTTTTACATCCATTGCCTGGTAAATTCAGTGTGTTTTTTTAAAAAAAAAAAAAAAAATCCACAGCCAACTGTTTGTGCTGTCGATTTAAAAATGAACTCAGACTTACAAAATAACATTGGTGGGTTTGTAAATTAAAGAAAAAATAAACCTTAATTCCAGTGGAAGCACTACCACCGCATGACCACCACCTGCTGATTGTCTAACAAGTGCAGTTTGTAGCCAGACACATTTTTAGGTCAACCATGTCCTCCCAGCGACTTCTGGGAGATGTTTGTGCTGACATGCTTTACTTAGGACAGTTTTACTTGAGATGTAACTCTACAAAGCTCCCATGGAGTCATTATTTAAATTACATGAACTTTTCAATATTAAGACAACCTCAGATCATGGGTACACCAGTGAGCAATGCTGACCTTGCCATAGCAGGCATTTCCACCAGGTTATTAATTTAAGATTTCATCAGAACTGCTTTGAACTGACATGTCCACCCCTCCACCCCTCCTGGGCGCTAGATGGAAAATGCTTGAGTCTTCCATTCGTTGCAGCTCCCAGTGATGTGTGGTTTGTACCAGAGCCTGGGTATGTGTATGTACTTGGCAAGTAGCTTGACTTCTCATGAGACATTAAAATAACTAGTTCCTGCTTGGTAGGCAGTTTTGGGGATAGTTCTAAGGCCATGTTTTTGAGGTCAGGCACCACCTTACTACTTAGGACTGTGGTCCAGATTGAGTGTGATGATCTAGCAAACTAAACTCTTGTTGCTGATCCATTACAGGTATTCTGTCAGCTTACATGACACCCAGCATGTTACATGTTGTTTCCTTCCTCTGGTCTGTTATCTCTTTAGTGTCAGCCTTTTTAGTTTGCCTACCCTGAAGTGGCCCTGTTAGATCAGACTTGGCCCAAAACGCTGCTTCTATAAAATTAGTGTTTCAGTAATATTATTTTAGTTACTTGAAGACTCAGACATTTTAATTGCAGTAGTTGAACCACTTCACAAGCACTAACCTATTTGTCCATTTAATGCTACTGTGGTAGGGAAATTTTTCTTCTCGTATTTTGCAAGGTGGTAGCTGACCCACTGAGAGATCAAGGGTAAAATAGTACTGCATAAGGCAGACTTTCTGTATTATGCCATCTACAGTCAAGATGCAGCAAACAACTAAGATTACTTGCTATATAAAGCTATTATATCATGTCCTGGTGTTGTATCAAAAGGCAAGGGGAGTGGCTGTCATCAAATACTCTTAACTTGTGCTTTACAGCTATCTTTTTTACCTTTTTTCTTTTTGTTTCTTTAAATAACTGAACTGTGTAATTCTCCTTAAGGCTGATTATATCCCCCAAAATTAGAAGGTTGTTGCTGATTAAGCAGTGAAAATGATTTATTCATGACTGGTGATCTTTCAGGAATCTGCTTGGTTTGGATGTTTGTGGTCTGAGAGAGCAGACATGAACACTGATGAGACTTCACATTTTGAAGACAGTTGTCCAGGAATAAACTTGTCAAGCCATAAGCATTTAATCCTGCCTGTGTGCACATTTTCTGGTTTTTCATGTTTCATTGGAGCAGGGGAAGGGATGAGGAGAGAGTAAAGCAAAGAAAGAGAAAAGGAAATTTCTTAGAGAATCAAATGATCTGCTTCTTGTCCTGTTGTAACTCTGTTGGGCAAAAATCAATCCTTCCTGTATTTATTTAATCTCTTAAATGCTGATATGTTCCTGCTGTAGATAATTCTGTCTCTGACTCAAGACTTATCTGAAGATCAACAAGACTAAAAGATAGCAGTGAGGTATTATAACTTGAAATAAGATATAATTAGTAAATGTGTTTAAAACATGACCAGGAATACATGGCTAGATTTTATGCTTTGGACACTTGATGTTTCTGGAGTTAAGATACTTGAATACAGACAGTTTCATTTGTTGCTTTGCAAGGAATGTTCCAAGTGCGATATAATTCACTTGTTTCTAATGCTGTGGCTACAGCAGAATAATAAGTTAAACTTTTACTCAGTAAAAACATATCCAAAAGGTGTAATGGATAAGTGATGTGGCTTGTGCAGTTAATGCTCGTGTGTTTATTGGGGATGGAGTGGGGTGTATGTGTTAAGTGATAAATATTAAACAACTTCTTCCATTTTAAATGAATTAAAATTCCATCCATGAGAGAGAAAAAACCTTTAATAAACAGACATTTACTTGTAAGTGTACTGAAATAGGGATATAGCAATAGTATACATTAATGAATAGTGCTCCCCAACGTGTTTTGAATACACTATAACACGTGTACCTTGAAAGTAAATAATCCATTTTGAAACAGGGAACTGGGAACTACAGTGAGTTGGCTAAGGAAGTGGTGTTATAACAGTGGAATTGGAACTGAACAGGTGCTCTTCTGTGTCTTGAGTCTCTGGTGCACCTCTTGATCTAGCCTCGTATAAAGCAAAAGGAACTCCATTAAACTTTTAAAAATCAGGAAAAAACAATAAGAAATATTAGATTTACTTGCATTACTAACTCATGGATAATTAAACATAGTATAATCTCCCGTAAAAATATCAGATAAAATCTTTTTTATGAAACAGAGAAACACATCAAATTTCTGTGTTGACATTGTGTTTTGCAATGTCAGTTTATGAAAGTCACCTGGTCTTTGAAAAATCAGTTTATGTAAAGAGATTAACATTGTTCCTTTTTCTCCATAGGAATTACGGGAGGACAACATCATATTAATTGAAACAAAGGCCATGCTAGAAGAACAGTTAACAATGGCAAGAGCTCGTGGTGATAAACTTCATGAATTAGAGAAGGAAAATTTGCAGTTGAAATCGAAACTTCATGATGTAGAGCTGGTATGCCTTCTCTCTTTCATTATGCTAATTTTTTTTAACTTCGCTTTTTATGCTAGGCCACAGGTTCATGTCACAGAACCAGTGGAGACAGGCAAATAAATCAACAGTGCTTTTAGAGGTCTTTAGTTTGAACTTTGTATACATGAATTCTTGAAATACTATAATATGAACATTGTAAATATTGCCAGTACTACTTTGTGTGAGACTGATGAATTTAATTTTATGCAAGAAGGTATATCACAGTTTTGAAATACTGATTGCTTTCATACCTGTCACTAATAGAGATGTTGAAATCTGACCGTTAAGTAGAAATCTCTTAAGTAGAGGAAATGAAATCTACTGTAGTAAATGATCTTTCTTGTTGGAAACAAAACCCCCAGCCATTACAGTGACTTTAAGAATCCATTACCACTGTTAAAGACACAAAATTCCAAAATTTATTTCTGTGTAAATCAGACACATGGCTTATTGCTTCATAGACAAGGAAATGTAATAAATGTCAGATTATTGTCTACAAACAAAAAGTAACATTGGATTTTATAATCCCACAAGAAATCATAAAGGACTCCTTCATCTCTTGTATTTTACTTAAAAGTCCTCCTCTTATCCCACTCTGTTTTGAATTCTTGTGAGTTTAACTGTATAGGGTTTCCAACGGGGTCTGTTGGAAACAAAGATGTTGAGGGTGCTGTGTGGAGTTACGTTTAATGACAGAATCAGGGCGTTATAAGGATCATGTCGTGCTCCAGCTTTTCCAAAGTGGCTGGTGATTTTGAATGATGCTTTTCTGGGTGACCTGAATTTTTGTGTAATGCTTTCTGAAAATTTGAGACCCTCAGACGACACCACTTCAGGTCCCACAGATGCAAATGGCCAAAATAATCACAAGAAGCAACAGTAGATTCATTCTCCAGATCTGTTTTCTGGATAATTTAAAACCCAGATTATTAGGCAGATGTTACTTACCGATCCTTATGACTGGATCCAAAGTTGATGTGATGTGTTGAAGAAGCTCAGTAGAATTCAAAGTTGTATCTGCAGCGTGTTATGTGTCAGTGCACAAAGATACATGTTTTTGAAGAGCTTAGTTCTGGAGACAGCTTGAATCCAACCTGCCTTACTAGCCCTGGCTTGTACGGGCTCTTTCATCACTCAGTATGTTCTCATTCCAGTCACCCTCCCTTCAAGTGTATCATGGACCTGAGCTGACTCTAAACAGGGCCAGTCTGGTGTCTCTACATTGTGTTCTGTGACATGTATGGTAGCCCACACCAAACATTTAACGCTGTACATGTATTTCAATATGAAAGCGCACAGTGTTTAAGGAGATTCTTCTACCCTCAATGTGTGTTGAGCTTGTAGCAGCTCAACTGAGAAAACAATCTTATGGATGAAGCTGAATATGCATTTTCATTCACGTGTGTCTTGCACAGGACCGGGACACAGACAAGAAGAGAATTGAAGAGCTGCTGGAGGAGAACATGGTCTTGGAGATTGCGCAGAAACAGAGTATGAACGAGTCTGCACACCTAGGCTGGGAACTAGAACAACTGTCGAAAAGCACAGATCTTGCAGACAGTGAGTACCAGCTAGGGTAGCTGCTGTTGTGTTTGTGGTCTCTTTTAGAGTCAATGGGTTGGTTGACTTAGATGGGAACAGAAGCTGAGTCCGATCTTGGAGAACTTCCCTCATTCAGCCACTCAACTTTGAACTTAGCGTTTTGGAACTTCTAAAATGTATTCATTCTAGTTTCTTTCACTTTTCTTTGGAAAGCATTAAAATATTTTCCTATTATTTTGTTCATCACTGAGGGAGTGACTTTTAAGTAAAATGATAAAAATTTGAAACAAAAAAAAAAAAGGCACTTTGTAAATGACACATCAGAAATGTCACACTGAACACTGGATGTTTCTAACTGAATGACTGGGAGGAGTCTGTGATCTTTAGTATTCTTCAGTTCAATTAGTACAGACAATTAGCTGGTCTTTAAGTCCCAGGAAATAGTGTATGCTGAAGTCATTTATTTTTACTAGATACTGAAAAATGTATACAGTTAAAATAACTGGATGATTTTTTTTTTTTGAATGGTTGATTTGATTTCCGTAACTATCACAAACATAACTAATGCCTCCTTCACTAGTCAGGTTTTAGCATTGGTTTCTGTGTCTAATATTCATTCTGTCTATAATACCAGCTGAAATAACAATGCTAAATGCAACATGGGAAATGTAAGCTCTTTCTTGCAGTTCAGTGTGCAGCTTTTATTGATTACTCACCTGATTCTGCTAAGGCTTGCATGTTTGGCTTTGTGTACCAGCAACAGTTTAACTTGAAGACAAAGGAATAAATTAGAGTAAACAGATGTTCAGTTTTCAGTAAAGCTTTCTAGAAGACTAGTTTTGCTTTGTAAAACAACTGAGTATGTGCCTGACATGAATTCTCAAATCTATTTGTTGTCTAGGATCTGAATTTTCTTTACTAAGATTAGTGGCTAATTGTTACTTTTAATTAATAATCTTGCAAAGCAGGTTTGCCTTAGCCTGAGAAGTGAATTGCATTCTATTCCTCCTTATGTGTAATCAAGGATATTGTTTATTATATTAGTCAGTGGAGAAAAACCACAGTTTTCTCAAAATTGACAAATTTTGAGGAAGCTGATTTCAGGAAAATTTGTATCTTGTATCTTGTTTTCTGGTGTGTCTCAACAAGTTTTTCCTCCTTCCTGATTTGGTTTCACTAGTGATGTAATGGGAGGAAGGATGCTAGTTTTATTTTGTTATGTATTATTTATTAATTTCTATCAAACATAACTTTCAAAATTTGCTCAACAGAGTGGTTTAAAAAAAAAAATGAAAAAAGATGAGATTCCTTCACTGCACTGATGCTTAGCCTCTCATCACTGGAGCTCCAGAACCTCTCTGATTAACCAGAGAAAAAAAGAGTAAGAGGAACTGATATCATCAGTAATCTTTTGTATTCAGTAGGAAAAAAAAAAAATAGTGAAGGAGGCCTAGTTTTAAAAAAACTAAGAGCATTAGACTTTGAAACTTTAAATTATTTCATGGAAGTGCTGTCCTACTTTTACAATACTTCTCTTTAAGAAGTTCAATTTCAATGCATGTTGTTATTCTGAATGCAGCTTGTTTGTACAAATGGAGTCAGTCTGCAAAGCTCTTTTGGAAAACCTCCTGTTCCTGTATTTCAAGTTGAGTCTGCAAGGGTGCAGGTAGCAGAAAATTTTGTATGCTAGTTTGGAATATTTTATTGAAAATCATTTAAAAAACAAGCATGGGAGAAAGTAGTTTAGATGGGCTTTGCTTCAGGACAGTAAACATTAACTAAGTACTCCAGTTGAGTTCTATGTCAGTCTTCATTTGACCAAAACTCTCCCAGTAAAACTTCATAAAAGAGATAAATGGGATTTTACCATTCTCAGAAACTTGTGAGTTCTAAAGTACTCCATGTGCTGTATGTAATAGCATTGGTTGTTTAGCAGGAGTGAATAATTTTCTGAGACTTAAAGGCAATGTTAAAGTCAAATTCATATGAAATGTGGTTTTGAGGTGAAGGGTAGCAATCTTTCTATGTGAAACGGAGGGTTGCTCTTATAATTATTCAGGTGCTGAGCAGAGAAATGAACAGAAAAATGAGGCCTTGGTGCTGGGAGTTAAGGCTGAGTAGTGAGACTTTTGATCTACAAACGTTTAGAGTAAAATAACATCTGTGTTGTAAAACTTGAATAGATTTTGTTAGTTCTGAGATTTCAACTTCAGACATTTCTCGATGGTTAACATTCTGATGGATGTCCTGTACCTTGGTATCTAATAGTAAAATATCCTCCCTGATTCAGTGTATTCTTGATGAAGTAGCTGTGAAGATAAGCATTGGAACTCACTTTTGTAAGAGTTTTCTGTGAATAAATATGATTGAATACCTGAGTTTTCATTAACTTTTGGAAGTACACCTTCGTGCTGTTTTAGCAAACACTTTTCAGGGGTTTACCTTCTGCCTCCATTTATTTCCTCTGCCGGAAGTATGAGAGTGTATCAAAGTATATTTTGCTACTAACATTAAACATGGCTAAAGTAACTTTAAGAAGAGTTAAGAAAGTGAGTAACTTTAAGGGTGGTTATCTGTTCAGATACTTCCCTATTTATTAAAGGTCTTAATTGTTATCTGTGAAAATGGGTTATGTTTTTAACAAAGTGTTTACTTAGCAATCAAACTGAAATGGTAAGGGTCTGACTGCAATTATCTTCATAAAAGTGAATCTGAAGGACCTAGTAAAGGAGATGTTTCTGAATTGGTTAATGCCACCTTCTGTTTCTCATGTTTCAACAGCCAGGAAGTCCTTTGTGTTTGAGTTGAATGAATGTGCTTCAAGTCGCATACTGAAGCTAGAGAAGGATAATCAGAGCTTGCAGAACACAATCCAAGAGCTGAGGGATGCCTCCTTGACCTCCAGAGAGAGCAGCCTAAAGTTTGTGGAACTGGAAAAAGAAAATCAACAGCTTAGCAAAAAGGTAATTTGCTCACAGGAACAGAGTGCTCAGGTTTTTAAACAGTGTGCCCAGGGCTGTGTGACATTCCTGAACATTGAGGGATTGCAGGGAATTCACCTGTGTTCCCCAGAAGACTGGGCATGGTTTTGGGCCCATCTATTTAATTCTGTTCTAACACGGGTGTATTCTATTGCCTTTTACTTCACTGCCTACATACGTCCATCACTGTAGGCAAAAGTAACTGTTCCTGTTTCATAAAAGCTGTTTTTTTGGTGTTCATTTGCTCCTGTCAGATTGTACTGTTGATTGTGTCCCTTTTTGTCATCTTATGGCAATCACTACTAGGCAAGGAAGCCATGGCTACATAGAACTATTTTGTTTGTTTGAAAGTTACTGTTTCCATGAAAGTCAGATAAATCACACCGGTGAATTTGGGTCATTATATTGTTAAATAAGTCTCTTTTGCTGTCTGTAGTCCTGGATCATCTCTTTCCCTGTCTTGTCCTTTTGGCTATTAGAAGTTCCCTAGTGTCTCCATCTCTGCAGAGATCTGGGTTCTTTTAATCTTTTGTAACAGACATGTGGGTCATCACTTCTTAAATTTATTTTTATATATACGTGTGTTACACTCTATTATTAACTGTGATTATATTTAGCTTAAATGCCAGCTCAGTGCTTGTCCTTGTGAAGCAGTGCTGAGTTCACATCCAACCACTAGCTTTATTTTTGTCTGGCTAGTAACTTGCATCCTGAACTCTGAATAATTGAGCAGGTGCCAACGGGGAAAGACAATGTTTGCTAGTCTGAGCATAAAAAATTTCCATGTCATTTTTTTCCACATTTCTAACTTTGCTAAATTATCCAGCATATAAGGCTCATTTCTCCTTTTCCTATTACTGTTGTAACCTCTGTTTGTGTGTGTGTGACACATTGAAACAGAGATCTCAGTCCTCTCTGGCCTGCCTGTGGGCTAACTGAATGCTTTAAAAGACAAGGGGAGAGAGAACCTTGATATGAAATGCTGGTCATTACCAGATTGTAACTAGCACAGTGCTATTTTCTCTGCCAAGGAGAAGAGGTATCCACCACTGCATCATTCCATCTTCTGTAGAGATTTTTTAGCCAAGTTGAGACACCAGTTCTGCTTCTTGGCTTTCTTCTGTGAATAAGAAAAACTCCAGAAATTCAGTTCACTGTGCTGCTCCTCCCACACTCCCAGTTTATGACCTGTTGTGTATGAGTAATTCACTCCAGCTCTAATTTACATGCTTAAAATTTGAGATCAAGGAATATAAAGCACTCAGCAGATACCTGTGGTGTACAGCGGTTTAAATCACTTGAACAACTGTGGTCAACCTTTGGCTTTGCCCCAGGCACATTCCTGTGGGCACCTCTTGTTATGGTGCTATATTGGTGCCAACAGTTGTGATTGCAGAATTAGTCTGATGTTTTTGATGATGATGAATACGTTGACATGGTGGGGTCACCTACAGGTCTGGTAGTTAAATAAGGCAAAAAACAGTAGTGGGGAATGCCTGTGTGGTGAAAAGGGGGCACTGTATGTATCAGACCAATGAGGGAAAACAAGGCAAGTAAAAATACTACTATTGAAAGCAACTGAAATTCATGAACTCTTCACCATCGAAACACAGAATATGATGGGAGCTGTGGACTGAATACCACAGGCCAGTCAAGTTGTTGGATTGCACATCCCATTCAGGGAGATTTTGGGGGAAAAAGCTAGTAGACAGTATTCTGTAGTCTGTGCAAGACATACGGTTGTGTTTCAGTGTCCAGAGACCTGATACATGATATATAAAATAATCTTGATTTGAGATGTTTGAATTTGGTTTATTTTTTTAATCTTCTCTTTCTCTAATGTCTGTTCATATTTCTTTCATACTTGTATCTCCTTACTCAGAGGGTATGCATGTCCACAGGCGGTTATGCTAGAGGAAAGGGGGATAATAGGGGAAAGCTCTCTGATTCATTTCAGAATGGTTACTACAGTAGGCAGAGGAGAGGGCAACAGTTCTTAAGGACTGGTAAAGACAAGCACATACAGTCATAGGACAAGAGATAAAGAAGTGTTTTTCTCAAATGTTGTGTGCCTGTGAGGTGGTTTTTTTGGTAACTTTCCTGAGATACCCATAGTAAAATCTTGCCTCCCTAAAGTCATTTAACTGGAGTCAGATTTCATCCACTGTCTGAGACTTTCAAAAATTGTTGTTTGAGTCTGTTTGGCTATCTACTGATCCTAGTGCTTGGGAGGATCGTGTAGCCAAAAGAGCATTACTCAGGTAGTACAAGAGGAGATGATATGAAGGAAGAGTAATGTACATCTTTTTTTCCTTTCTTGCAAGGTTTTCAAAGGAGCTAATAATAGAAAACCCTCCTCCTTTCAGGCACAGTCAAGTAGTAGCAGTCCAAGCACCTATCTGTTATCTCTGCATTCCTGATTTCTTGGACTGAAACGATCTGTAAACAGTAGTTTCTTACTTGCCTTCAGTTTTCTGGGAGGTGCTAATGAAGACCAGATATTGCTGAGTTACTGAGTTTGTTCCAGTTTTCTCTGAACAGCTCCTTTGAGACCAATGAACCTTAACATGGTTACATTTCTAACTGTTAAGCCCTTCTTATCTCCAATCTGGGCAGCCTCTGCTTGTTTAAACACTTCCTGTAATGAGGCACATGTTGACATAGGCAGAGCCCAGCCTCCAGCTATTTCCCACTTGTAAGAATTATTGTTAATACCTTTTTCACTGACTTATTCACTATTGGAGAAGTTCATAATACCAAAATAAAAATGAGCTGGTACTTGTGCAGAGCCATAGGTGCTCACAGTACTTTACAGGCATCTAAAGGAATGCTTCCTGACTGGGGGAGCCTAGCTCTCTGAACCTTTTTCTTCTAAACACTGAAGAGCTCCTGCTTTTCAGTGCTTAGTGCATTATGAGTACAACTTTCAGAAGGGAGGGATTAAGGTGACATTGCTCATTGTAAGAATGGGACTTTATTCACAACTTTTTCAAATCCAGTATTGTCACCTGCTGGGGGAAATAGAGGGCTGACAAAGCACATGGAGAAGGAACGTAAACTTGGAAACTCCAGTGCTTCTTCTCTGTTCCTGATTTTTTTTTGTTTTGTTTTTGTTTGTTTGTTTGTTTTTAATTCTGTTGCTCACTGAATTGTCTTAACTTCAAGACAGTTAGATTAAGGCCATCAGTGATGGAGAGGCTAGGAGGAGGCAGGTCCCTCAAAGGTGAGCGCTAGAAGCTTAATCACTTAGGACAGGAGCACAACAGGACATTCAGGCAGGCAGGTGAAGCATTTCTCACAGCTGTACCTTATATGCTCTGATCTTAATAGGCATGAAAGAGATTCCTGGCACTGTGAGAAAAACAAAACAGTCCATTTCCTCCTCTGAGACTGGCAAGCTGCAGAAGGGAAAGATTACATCTTTTAGCCATAGTCCCTGTCTTATTCCTCCCTGGTCTTCAAAATAACTTTAAGTGCAAACACTCGTTGTGTCAAGCTGTGGCTAATGTGTTTTGGTGTGTTTTCTTCACACAGATTGAGAAGTTGCAAAATCAAATTGAGAAAGAGAAGCAAAGTAATCAAGATCTGGAGACCTTGAGTGAGGAGCTGATAAAAGATAAAGAACAGCTACAAGTAGTCATGGAGACTCTGAAAGCTGACAAAGACAGACAGGTACAAACTTCACTTCATGTAAAAGCATGTACTCAGTAGTGGTAATTTACTGATGCCAGTTAGAGCATCTGGTTCTCTCAGGGAGTTAGGTCAATTTGAGACCTATTGAGTGCAGGTTGAACTGGTTCAAGTGTAGGTAAAAGGCTTCTTCAAGCAAAAAAGCCCAGCATGGTTTGCTAGCTACTGCTCCTGTTATCATGGAGGGATCTTCAGGCTGTTGTAAGGAGAGACCCTTCTCCCTTTGGTGGAAAAAAAGCCCTGGATCTTAATAAATGGGGTACCAGCTGGTTTTGAGGATGTGCAAATAAAACACCATTTTATTGCAGAAGATTGGTCTTCTGGCAGCTGTATGTCCTGATTGGTTTGGTTCAGGTTTTTTTTTTAGCCACCCAACCATTTTTGCTCTATTTTAAAAAGATGCTGAGAAAGCATTTATGTCGTCTGGATTGATGTTTTAAATGCCCTTCAGCTTTTACTACAATGTCTTGAAACTAACCTGTTATAGGTTCATGCAAGGTATCATCTGTGTTACTTTGACTAGTGAAGAAAATACAGAGGCAGATCACTGGAGACTCGTCTGTATATTTTCAACCTGTATTAAAATTTACTCCAAGTTTTGTGGGGTGAAGATTAAATCACAAAATGTCTTATTTGTGTAGTGCTTTTCATCTTGAAGGATTCTTAACCAGGCTTCTACCTCGGAAACTGCACTTTACCACCACAGTCCTACATTTCAGTTAGAATATACAGACTCTTTGTGGTAAGAATTAATGAATGCTTCACAGGTGGAGCAGGAAGTAAAACCAGAAGTATCCTCAATCTTCAGAAAAGCACAGATTCTGATTTTTCCAGGTTTAAGTCCTTTCCTTTTTGATTTCTGTGGATGTTGTCTAGATGAGAGTCAAATGCAAATTGCAGTTTAAATCTCAATTGCTTCAGCTGAAATTTGACCAGTGGGGTAAGTTCTTACAGGAAGTGTGTCTTTAATGAGATCTATAATTGCTATAAGTTTTCAAATGCTTTGGGGTTTCTGATGCCTTATCAGAAATAATTTGTGTCTTCAGATCCCAAAGATGAATGTAAACCTAGACAGAAAGATACCTTTTATTAGAAATGACAGCTAACAAAGCATCTTCCCCAAGGTGTTCTCCGAAGGTCCCCAGTATACTTTCTCCTTCTGCTTTGACCTTCTTAGCTGTTAGCAGGAATACAGCACTGTTTTTAATTTGTTAGAATCACAGGTAACCAGAAGTAATAATTTTTTTCATTAGTTTGAGTTACTGGTTTTAGTCAGAGAAAACTGTTGAGAAATTTGTCTTGAATTAAATGGATGTGCTTTTGTTAACAATCACCTGTCTGCTTCAGGACTAATGTATACTGCACTTTGCAAGGTAGATGAGTAACATTTACATGACTTTTTTATTGTTTATGTAGATAAAGGACCTTAAACAAGAAAATGATCATCTCAATCAAGTGGTCTTATCCCTGAGACAAAGATCTCAAGTGAGCAGTGAGGCAAGAGTAAAAGATATTGAAAAAGAGAACAAGATCCTTCATGAAACAGTTACAGAGACTAGCAGCAAACTGAGCAAGCTGGAATTTGAGAAGAAACAGTTGCAAAAGGATTTTGACCAGGTTAAAGAAAAAGTGGAAAGAGTAGAAGAAATGGAAAAAGAGCTCCATCGGCTGGAGAGGGAGAATGAACAGCTCACAAAGAGGGCAGCAGCGATGAAAATAGTGACAGAAAAAGTGGAAGTTCTTGAGCAGGAGAATGGAGATCTGGAAGTGGAAAATAGGAAGCTAAGAAAATCCCTGGACACATTGCAGAATATTTCCATCCGGCTTGGGGACCTGGAAAGGGACAACAAGCAATTGGATGAAGAAAATCTGGAGCTTAGGAGAGTGGTGGAGACCATGAGATTTACCAGCACAAAAATGGCACAAATAGAAGCAGAAAATAAAGATTTGGAAAGGGAGAAAGAGGACTTAAGAAAGAATGTAGAAATGTTAAAAGCAATGAGCAAGAAATCAGAGAGGCTGGAGCTAAGCTATCAGAGTGTCAACTCTGAAAACCAGAGACTTCAGCAAATTGTGGAGAACAGCAGCAAAAAGATCCAGGAGTTAGAAAAAGAAGTACAAGGAATGGAGAGTGAAAATCAAGTCCTCCAAAGAAACTTAGAGGAGTTAAAGATTTCTGCCAAACGGCTAGAGAAGTTAGAAAAGGAGAACAAAACCCTAGAACAAGAAATCTCTCAGCTTGAGAAAGACAAAAAAATGCTAGAGAAAGAAACGAAACGGCTCTGGCAGCAAGTGGAGCTGAAAGATGCCATTTTGGATGATAGTACAGTAAAATTGGCAGTTGCTGAGAAAGAAAACAAGACACTAGAAAAGGAAATTGCTCGATTCAGAGATTCATCTAATAAGCTGAAAGAATTTGAAAAGGACAATAAAGATCTCATAAAGCAAGTTACAATTGATAAAAGAACACTAGCTACATTAAGAGAGGTAAGCAAAATAATACTACTGGTTTCAGTATGATGCTATTTTTTAATTTCAGCTCTGTGAAGTACCAGAGGGAGACGTGTCCTATGACTATTTGATCCATGAGCTAGGAGATCTTTACAGCTTTAACAGCCATCACTGGATAGCGTTGCCTTTGAAAGCGGAACCTGCCAAAACCAGCAATGTACCCCTTTGTGTCCACAAAGACAGCATCTCCAAATGACATCTTTTTCATGCAGAATAGGGTTTTAACACAGCTCCCATGTGGTAGCTGTAAACCAAAGACTTTGACACTTTCTCTAACCTTGTGACCACAAAATTGTTTGCTAACATGAGAGCTCCAGCAGGGGAGATTGACTCTTAAGCCTATAAATTAGAGCACTTGTTGAGGACACATTAACATCCATGTTCTAAACGAGGCTTAACTAAGACAAGAACCATACCAGATGACCAACCTAATCCTTTCAATAACAGCTGCACCAGGTTTTTGCTTTACAACTACCTACAGTGTTTTTCCCCAAAAGCTTCCCTGCAGAGTGAGAGCATGCTAAGCAGCTTTGTTGTTAAGCAGCAGCAATCTTTTCCAGCACCCCTCTCCACCGCAGAGTGCAGTAATTGCAGTTTTCCTAGTACTAAGCACTTAAAAGTACACAACTAGCATTAGGACATTGGTAAACTAATAATGTATGGGTCAAAAAAATGATGCTCTTATAAATACCTATGAGCAGATTCAGGTTATTGCAACTTGCCTACATTGCCTGCCCCAGCTGCTATTGTCCTGCCAGAAACAGGATTTCCTGTGAAAGAGCATTCAAAGGAAAATGGTCAGTGCCACGGTAGCTCAGTGAAATTAGTTTAGCAAGACGAAAGCAGTAACCAATTACTTACTTGAAGATTTGATTTTAGTTTAGTTTTTGAAGCATTAGTGTAATTTTGAGGAGAAAAAGCAGTTTATCAGAAACAATTGGAACAGTTCCAAGTAGTGTTTCTATCCAACTTTCCTGAAAAATAAATAAAATAATAGTGTTTCTGAGAAGAAAGAATCAGAAGCACATCTTGTTTTCCTTAGTTACTTTCTATAGATTGTACAGAAGGAGTTTGTGGATGTTGAAGGAACCTATTTCCAGTCCATGGACTGGCAGTGACCTTAATCTTACCTTTTTTTCCCTTGCCATGTGAATGAATATGTGGCTATATTTGTGATAGCATAGGAGTATTGAATACCTGCAGTTTATGTTCAACAAAGTTGGGGTTTTCTAATTTTATTTTTGCTATTCTTTGATATCCAGGAAAATTTTTTTCTTACTTGAAGTGCTTCAATAACTTTGTTCTTTCTTCACGCCTTAAGAAAACTTTTGAGCAGAAACATGAGCAATGTAGTTCTCTAAGGTACATTTGCATTTTAGAGAATTTTGAATGGTAGGGAAATTTGAACTTGGCTGTGCACCAAAAAAATTTGTCCTTTTAAAACATGCAGACTGATATTATGTCTTCTCAGGCCATTTCCACACAGACCACTTTACTGGCACAACAGAAAAGCGTTGTCCCAAAATACCTTCTGGTACCACTCCATCAAGTCTCCTCCTCACATGACTTCCTTGTCTGGTTCTAATTAAGTTTCTTCCAAAGAAATCTAGTTGAAACCAGAACGGGCCAGAGATACCAGAATAAGCAACCAAGCTCTCTAATCTCCAGAGCTGTCCTGTCTCTTACACGACAATGTAATTAAGCTTTTTAAATTTTGGCAGTAATTTACTGTATGTCAGAAACTCAAAGTCAGTAGTGAAAATGCACTATTATATAATATCTTAACCACATTATCTCAGAAAACTTTTGTACTGAAGTCCTGTCACTCCTCTCTGTGTGTGCTAGTGTTGGCTGGGCTTTTCAGCAGGGTTTCTTGTCCTGTCTGAGGGGTGGGAACTCTCTCTGCTGATGTCCCCTGACCTGCACACATCCCTTCTGTGGCTCAAGGGCAGGGTGTCTCCTGACCAGCACACATTCCCCTCTTTGGGCAGGCAGGCAGGATGCCAGTGTTGGCAGAAGTAATCCAGTACAGTAAGCGAGACAAAGGCCAAAAGAAGCATTCTTCAGATTTATTCCAAGTAAGCTATAAATAAAAGCAATCAGTTTAATTCTGCACTCAGCTGTCACTGATGAAGAATTTTAGCTGAACTTCTGGGAACTAGTATTTTACCTAATGACTTTTTCAGTACTTTTTAAAAAAAAAATCTATAATGCTAGTTAATTATCACCACCCTTTGCACAGCAACTAATCCTGTTAGTGCCGTTACAGGATTTGGTCCAGGAGAAGCTGAAGAGTCAACAGTTGTCTAGTGAGCTGGACAAACTGAGCCAGGAACTGGAGAAGATAGGGTTGAACAAAGAGCTGCTGCTACAGGATGACAATGGCAATGATGACACGTAAGGAAACTGAGCTCTCTTAGTCATTCTTTTGACTCTGCAAGCTTTTCCTCAGCCTTACTCAAGCCCTTTGCCTTACTTTTTGGTTCTCATCTGTCTCACTCCAATTGCCCTTACCAATTTTGGACATAAAGCATGTTTTTTCTGTAGCAAGCTTGGCAGTATACTGCAAGTTTTGCAAAACTTTTTCTTGGATGGAAGGAATAAGTGCCATTTTCTCTCTCCCTGCTTACCAGTGTTACTACAGTCCCCCTCTACTGTCCAGTAGAGTAGCTGAGTAGCTATTTCAGTGTGTACTCATATTCTCTTTACAAGTAAGAATAGTGTCTATTAAACAGTGTCTGTCATTACTCCATGTAATTGATGATCCAATCACATGTTAATATAAACACAGCTGTTGCCCCAGAAATGCCAGATTGCAGGGAATTCTTTTGCAAGTCCTATAGTAATGAACAAAAAAACCCCAAAATCCCATGTGTATATAGGTGTCTTGGTAAGACCTAATTAGAGAAACATACCCATCCCGTATGAGTCTTCAGAATCTACTGTGGGTTTTTCTCCTTGTCAAGAGTGTTTAAGAGCCTTGAGAAGAAGTTTCCATAGTGTAATTAAGGGAAAGAGAAGAACTGCTTTTAAGTTATGTAGCTCTTAGATATTTCTGTAGAACCATGCTGACATTACCTCTATTAAAATTGATTGGATTTTCCAAAAGCAGGTTCCCCAGCTATAATGTATCAGTAGTGACCTGGGGCAGTAGGTGAAATAATTTTCCTAATAAGGCAAACACATATAATGTAACATGTGAGATTTGGAATGGGTGAAGGTGAAGTCTCCAATGTAGATGATGGCTGATATGCTAGTGGCAGAAAGCTATTCTTATGTCTTTCAGAAAATACAAGATTCTGGAGAGCAAAACTGAATCAGCACTAAAAACAACACTAGCTGTGAAAGAGGAGAAGATTGCAATGCTGGAAGCTCAAGTGAAGGACTCTCTGAACTTGAACCAGCAGTTACAGAAGGATCTAAATGTGGTAAGAGTTTAACTGAATTTTAATTGTTCACAATATGGTTCTGCACAGTCACATGCATTTTATTTTTTTTTTACTCAGCACGAACAAGTTATCTCTACTTCCCCCCCACACACACACTTCCCCAAAACATTTTTTTGATTGGACTGTTTTCTCTTGCCCCTTTCTATATAGTGGCACCTATTTCAGAAAAATTGTTGGGCTGGAGGCATGGCAGGAGTTTTTTTACTTAACTACTATTTGCAGTTCTTTGTTTTCCCGTGTTTTTTTCATTGCCATGGTTTTTCTGCCTTATTTAATGAAAGCGTAGGCTGAGGAAGACTGCAGTTGAAATATCTCACCTGAGAACAGTCTGTTTGTTAGGTGACAGTGAGCTTGAGTCAGAGCACCTGACGGGAGGCCAAGAGATGTGGATTCCTCCACCTGTCTGTGTCTCCGCTTCCCCATCTGTGAAGTGAGGGTAATGGTTGTTGAATCCCTTAAAGTCCCTACAGTGCAAGAGAGGAACTGGATATCCCATCATTATCAGTATAAAATCTCACTGTTAAATCAGCATTGAAGGTTGTTGCTTGTTGGCTTTGCAGGTAAAGAAGGACTTTGATGCACTTAAGCAGACTCAACAAGACGGACAGATTGCTCAGAAGTCACTGAGATATTCTGCAGAGAAACTCATTCCCAACCACCAAATGAATGAGAAATTGGAATCAGGGCACCGAGAAGCTACCATGGAGCTGCTGAAACTGAAGGACAGGGCAATTGAACTGGAAAGGAATGTAAGCCTTTTCCTGTTTCCTATTATCTCCCAGGAGTGGGCTGCTGAGAGCTGGATTTTTGAGCTTATAGGAATCTGATGGGTTTTCTGGAGCACATAAGTCTACCAAATTCCTTGGGTATCTCTTAGGACCGTATGGGACTTTAATGCCATATATGTCTTGTGTAACATCATTGCAGGGATTAATCCTGCGTATAACATCTGTCCTACCTTCATTTAATGCCGGGAAGATTTTGCTTTTGCAAAATTTTTTTCTGCTTTGTTGCAGAATGATCATCATTAATTGGTTCTCATCTTTGATAGGACTCCAAAGATCAGGACGGCTGTTTCATTTCTTCCTGTCACCCCTTCAATGCCATCTCTCTTTCAGAATGCAGCGCTGCATACTGAGAAGCAGCTGCTTAAAGAACAGCTGAAGCATTTGGAAACACAGAATGTCTCCTTCAACAATCAGATTCTGACACTACAGAAGCAAAACGTCTTCCTTCAGGAGCACAACACTGCCCTGCAGACGCAGACGGCCAAACTCCAGGTCAGGACAGCTTTGCATCTCTGTGCCAGGAGACTGGATTTGATTGTAGTACTATGGAGAAGATGACACCTAATAAGAAAATGTTTGTATTAATCTGCTGATGTAGTGATGTAAAGATGACACCGGTTGGTGAAACTTAGTTTGAGGTCTGAATTTCTCCAAGCTAGGAGGGAAATTGGCTCTGTAGCTAATGTCTGGTAGCTATCTTCATTAAGAAGGCAGTTATTTAGAGAGAAACTTTTGAAATCAGTACAGCAAAATCCACTTGTGTTGTTCCAGAAGCTGCATTTCTGGAATAAAAGATCTTTCCTCTTTATTCCAGTAATGCTATGCCTGTAAAAGAGCTTGGAGGAAATGGGAAGAGGACACAAGTCAGTTCCCAAGAGGAATTGTAGCAAAGAGTTCCAATCACAATTTTCATACTTTCAGACAAAATGTCAAAGTTGCTGGTGGAAAACAGATACTCTTAAACATTACGTTAATCTTGAAAAAATAAACTTAGCTTGAGAAAGAGAACAGTTTTAAAGGACAGTCTGAGAGAGTTGGGGTTGTTCAGCCTGGAGAAGAGAAGGCTCTGGGGAGACCTTCTAGCGGCCTTTCAGTGCTTAAAAGGGGTTACAGGAAAGGTGGGGAGGGACTCTTGATCAGGGAGCGTAGTGATAGGCAGAGGGGTACCAGTTTTAAGCTGAAAGAGGGTAAATTTAAATTAGATATAAGGAAGAAATTCTTCACTGTGAGGGTGGTGAGACACTGGCCCAGGGTGCCCAGAGCAGCTGTGGGTGCCCCCTCCCTGGAAGGGTTCCAGGCCAGGTTGGACGGGGCTGGGAGCCCCCTGGGCTGGGGGAAGGGGGCCCTGCCCGGGGCAGTGGGGGTGGAACTAGATGATCCTTAAGGTCCCTTCCAGCCCAAACCATTCTGTATGATTCTATGACAACATTGGATTAGATCTAATTTTTTTTGAATGTGAATTTCCCTTTTTAGATTTTCTCTTGCATGTTCACAGATTTTTATTTTTTTTTCTCTTTAATTTTTTCTCACCTGTAATTAAAGTATATAAGCAATGTATAAAATCAATGTATGACATATCTATTGAAATCAGACTTGTTAGGAGTGCTGCCCCATACACAGTGGTGTAGTTAATTTTGTTGAGAACTTAAGTTTTCATGTCTTATACAAAAACATGGAGTAGTTTTTGGCTTTGTACATGATTGTCAGAGATGCAATTGAGTTGTAAGTATTCCAGCTCATCTTGGTCTTCAGGCTCAAGAGCTTCTGATTAGCATGGCTTAATATGGTACATACTACCAACAATAATACCAAAATGATGTCAAGTTGTCCACAGATGTCTTAAGTCTACAAAACAATGGATGCATTCTTGTTTAACTCTATACAGATACAAGGTGTTACTACATGTTTGTTGTATGTACCAGTTGATGTAAATAACTACTGCTTGCTTATTATTTGAGAAACTTTAGGTAGAAAATTCAACCCTCAGCTCCCAGAGTGCTTCGCTGATGGCCCAGAATGCTTTACTCCAAAATCAGCAGACAGCTAAGGAGAATGAGAATGAAAATCTACTGAAACAGAAGGAGCAGTTGAAAGCTGAGTATGAGTCATTGCTTCAGGACCATGAACACCTTGCTTCACTGCATGAACGGCAGTCTGCAGAATATGAAATGCTAATAAACCAGCACAGCTGCCTGAAAACATTACACAAAAACCTGGATCTGGAGCACAAAGGTCTGGGTGAGAGGTATGGTCACTGCTCAGGGTGTAGTGTAGTCATATGTACCAATGTTACAATTTTATCTTTAAATATTAGTCTCCTGTTACAAATGGAAACTACCAAGTTGTTGCCCTAAAAACGTGTCTTCTCATTAGGAGATTAGATTAAAATATTTGCAAAGCTGTAGATTTTTAGACCTCTGAAGGTGGCAGACCATAGATGACTGATGATATTTAGCAAACATGGACTTGGGTGTTGGAGATGCTTTGTCAGAAATAGCTTAAATGCCTTTATTACATTTAAGGATCTGTGCTATGATAACATGCAACCTTAAGAAGATTCTCCCAGTTCTGCTGTGTGGGATATCTTTTCTTGTCATGCAGTAGAGTCTGCAAGTCATAGGTAATTAACCTATGTGTGAGTGGTATGTTGTCCTGGTTTGGGCTAAAATAGAGTGTCTTGAGAAATTTAAATCATTGCAGATTGCGTGTGGTGTCCACCTCATGACAGAGGAGGCTTTCTGAAGGAAGCCATATTAAGCTAGCTATGAGATAGTGATGCATTATTTATTTGTGAGAACTAGAAGAAATCTAAGGCTTTTGCTTCAGGCCTTTCAATTGAATTGTGAAATCGGAGTAATCCGTTTATAGTTTAGTCTCTAATCACTGTAATTTTCTGACAATTGTGCATGGATCAAACAATATATTTAATGTACTACTACATAAATGCCGCTCTGACTATCCCTCAAAACTTTTCTTACATAGTTTGGTGATTTTCCTCAAAACATGTGTCTTTAGGTTCAGTTTCTGTGCAAGAGCATGAGTCAGGTTCAGGGTCAACTCAGTGATGATCTTTGGGAGTAGACTGAAAACTGGTGCTGCACTCTTCTTTCCCAAAGACTTAAGGAGCTGGCAATACAACGTGTGGTAGATTTTGATAAAGTACAGAAATAAACCTATTGTGATTAAAATATCCACCAGGACTGTGTGGTAGGACAGCTGCTTGGCTGTCAACTAAATGAGCTGTAAGTGATTACACAGACACTGTTCCTGCTTACCAAGTCTCTTTTGGACTGATTAATGGTTCTTATTGGTTCAGGCTTTGCTTGAGATTATCACACTGAGGTGTGTTGAGGCAGTTTGCTGGGTTCTTTCTTCTCTTGGTAAGTACGAATTATTAACAAGTTCTAGCGTAGGGGAAAAGTGGTTTTCTAAAAATATAAGGTTATCTCTAGTGATAAGTGCTCTGATCACAGTTGTAAACATTAACAATGTGGACTATCTGTTACTGAGATGTGGCTGCCAGTGAGAGATGTTGCAGGGGAGCAGATGGTGGCCTTTTCTATGCTCAAAGCAGGTTGATTTTGGCAGCTTTTAAGAGTGCAGTATCCTCCTCAGCAGACCAGTTTCAAAAGGTGCTTATCAAGGTGATTTGTCCAAGGACAGCCTGTGACTCCATTTGACTGTCAGAAAAAAGAGAAAAGCCACTTTTTCTTTGTGTGTTTTGTTCTCCCTCCATCATGTGTTATGTGTGGCTTAGTTGGCTGATGGAGCAGAGGGGAGAAAGTTAGAAAAACAGCTGTGAGAAAACTGTTTTCTTCTGCCACTGAGGCATTTAGCTGCTGAGATGAAATATCTCACTTTCAACTTCAGCTGGAATGCACCACCTGCTAAATTTGCTCAGAGCAGACAAGAAGTTTGCTTGTGCAGTGTCTAAGAAACGGGTTTTGCTTGTCCCAACTCCAAGGTAATTGTTTTTTCTCAGTGACAGCACTGTAATCATAGTTCTGTTGCTTAAGGCATGATTGCACTCCTGCACAAACCTATGACTGCAGCTCGTCTAGAAAAATCCACAGCAACTTTAGTTAGCTTGTGGACTCCTAACAGTCTGTACAGCCAAGGTCCCCAAGGTTTGTGTAGTTCACTCTGATGCATTCTAACCACAGAATATTTCCTGCACCTGAACAAACTTCATTAAAACTCCCTTGGCTCTATCTGCGCAGTATTAGCATTGCAGTGGGGATTTAATAATAGGTTGCATGTAACTGCAGTGAAATGGCCTGTTATAGCCCAGCAAACCACAGGCCTGTGGGTTTGACTCTAGCAAGAAAAGGAGAGTTAGTATGTTAGGACCGTTTACCATTAATAGCAGTTTCTTGACTTTGCAATGTTTGACTGACCATCTCAGTGAACACAGAAAGGCTGGACTCTTTGGCTGCATTTTTTAAAATTGCTTTACCTATTACACATTGCTAAGGGGATGTAATAATTTACTAGCTACAATTGATTAGCAGATCCTTGAGCATTTCTTTGTGGCTTACTCTGGAGAAGTCTAATCCTGCAGAGACACTGGAAAAACTCATCTCACCGGAAAAACAGAATCCCTGCTGTAGAGGGTTACAATATTGCAGGGACTTGTATTATACTGGCTAGTAATTATTTTTCTGTGTTCCTTTTGCCACATGCTTTTTATCATAGCTGAGCATTTTTAAAGTGTTCAGTCACAAATACCTACCCACAGTATTTCTCCTAACAAAGCAGCAGAAAGTGTGAAAGTCAAAAGGACTAAAGAAGAATATGATTGTTCAATCCCAGGAATGGATGGCATCAGAGCCAAAACGGTTTTTATTTGCATCTATAAGAAAATACTTTTAAAACACCTCTGTCCAAGTGCCTGATGCTTAAAGAAGTAGAGTGTTGAATAGCCTACAGGATGGGTAACCTTGGCCCTGGTTGTAGAGTTTATCAGGTTGCACAAATCCTGCTCAAATGGTAGACTCCATGCTGAATCTGGATTACAAGAAAATTTTGCCTGGGGATATCATTAGGGCTCCAGAGATGCAGAATCACTTGCATTTTTGCAGACAGTCTCTTCTTTCTTAACTTTCACTAATTATCATGGGGAGCAGCTGTGGTCCACCTCAGGGGTTCCCATGCTCAAAAGCAGCACGTGGAGCTGGGCCAAGCTGGTAAAACTGGACCAGTATACTACTTCCCACTAAGTAGCCCTCTTTAAAAAAAGAGAGAGCTTGGATAAAAGTGAACAGTGTAGCCATATCATACAGAGATGGCAAAAGAATTCACAACACAGTTTCTGCAGAGGCAGCCATGGTAATCTCTGCCAAGGGACTGACTGTGGAGTTTGTCTTCTCAGGCTCTGGATTGGCATGCAGTCTGTCGTAAATCCTTTTTGGAGCTGGATGTGAAACCTTCCTCTGCTTTCAGGTTCTTCTCTTTGTTGTAGAGACATTGAATTTGAAATGTCCTGGAGCTGAATGGAGGAAGAAAACAAATAAATAAGGTTAATTAAACTCCACTGCTGTTACTGGGAACGAATAGCAAAAAGCAGCTTTTGTCAGGGAGAGACAGGTACTTCTCTGTGTGGCCCTTCAGTGGGCTGGAATTTGGGACAGGCTGTAATTTGACCCTGGGATGAAGGGAATGGTAGCCTGAAAGAAAAACAAGTTGGCAGGAGTCAATGTATTTGGTGCTGTCTGCTGCTTTTGTTTTTGTTTTGAAGGTTTTGTGACTGGTGGGTAACTGTGCTCTGCATTCATCTCTGCTGGGATGAGTCTCAGATAGATGAAGCTTGTTCTCTCTAGCTTTTTCAAGCAATGCTGCATCTTCCACCTAGTTGCTGTTTTCATATTGCTCTGAAGGATGTTCTTCTGTGACTGGCACAGGTGTATCTGCCCAAAGATGTTTTGGGACCATATCCTTTTATCACAGTCACAGAAAAATGTGTTGATGACACTTGACATTCACTGCACCACTTGTCCCCAGTGGCTTCTGCTGGTGTGTGTCTATGGGCACAGGCCCTGACAGAGGCCACCAGAAGGGGAAAAAAAAAACTATTCTGAGAACAGCTTGCTGTTTTGCAAAGTGGTCTCAAGCCACCTCATTCTTTGCAGCATTTTCCGAATGCAAGTGGTGTAGCTGCTCAGGGAGGCTGAGCCTGCCTAATCGATGCCTGTGCCAAGTGTCAGGGGAGTTGTTCCACACCTCTGTTACTTTAGTGTTCCAGAGATTGAAATTAAAGACATAGTTGATGGCGTCTGCCCTCTACCTCTGCCCAGCTCACCACCCTGAATGATCTATGAACACGTTGTATAAACCAAGTGACAAAGGAAGCCTGGATGTGAACACCGGTGTTGCTCTTGCTCACTAGTGAACAAGTAGAGCCACTCAAGCAGGTGGGTCAGCCCCTGCTTAAAGGTATTTTGCTGTCATCTCACTGATACTAGCCTCATCATCTGTCTGGAATATGCAGGGATCATTACCTGTGCATATAATCTAATATGCATTAGGTTGTTACCTCATAAACTGTTGCTCATTCCGCTGCTTCCTTGTTGCTCTTTGGCTGCTGCTTTCTGCTTTTTAGTCCGGTTTTTGAAACCTGCCACTGACAATTTTTTGTGAATTGGGATTCCAGTTTAATGATGTAGTTCCCACTCACTGTGGAGGCTCAAGTGCTTTTTACCAAATTATCTGGATCTGGAATTTAAATAAAGTTCTGGCAGTTGAATTCAGGTGTGCTTAAAAAAGGCATTTTTTTTCTAAAAGCCTCCCTGTTGACTTATGGACTAATCTGAGTTTCCCTGCATAGTGTGGAATTCTTCAGCCTTGGTAGATGTTTAACCACACAAATGTGTATGAAACTAAGCAGGCAGGAAAAACAAAAAAATCCTTTCTGGTCATTGTGGAATTATCTATTAAGAAACTTAAACTAGAGGAAGAAAAGTTGTTTAAAAGAAAGCTAAGAGTATGCTACTCCTCTTTTTGCAGATACAACAGTTTAATGAAACACAAGGCAGAATTGGAAGAGTTGGAAATAGTTTTAAAAACTGAGAGAGAGGTTCTGCAACAAGAGAGGAGATCAAATGCAATAACCACTGGGGAAAATCAGAAGCTGAGGGAGGAACTGGACAGGTATGGTTCCCTTGCTAAATTCTTGTATGTATCGTTAATCAGTCAATTATGCAAAACACACAGTTGTTTTGCTGTGTTATCTCTAGCTCCAGAATACCTTCATTCATGTGTCTGTTCATTTTTCTCAATTTCTGTGTTGTTAATTTGATCATTTTGTTTAACTCACTTAAGATTATCAGCTTCATGGACACTGTCAACAAATACTGTTACTCGGTGCTCCAAACATGGTCTGATCCTGACACTTTTGCTCATTCAAAATAAGCTTCCACATGTGGTTCAGTTCACAAGTGTTTCTGTAATGAGTTGTTTCCAAGCACTTGTCTTTAAGTAGAACTACAAATACCCCACACTCCCAATTATATCTAGAGTTGTGTGAAATGGTTCCTACCCAGTTTTTTTTTTCCTTAAGAACTGTATTATGTTTTTTACACAATATGATTCAGTTCTAGGAGTTACCACTGCTGTTTATTTTCTACTGTCCGGTGAAAGCTGCTATTTGTTAGTACTCTAAAGGGACGTGATTCTTGTTATTAAAAGTGGTCTTAATGATTCATATGATCACTGGTTAACTGTTAACTCACGTAAAAACCCCTTTTGTGAGCTAGCATCAAACTTCACATAATGCAGCAGTAAAGTGTACCCTGCCCCCAACCTGTATGCCTACTGGAGCGCTCTCCGTTATAACCAGTTCAGTGTCTCTGTTCATACTACAAAGGCATTTTGAGAATTAGGTTGGTACAAATAAGGAGCTAAGGTCATATCAAGTTAAAGCAATGTCAGATTGAATCATACTTTAAATCACATGTTAAGTTCAGTCATGGAAGTTTCATATGCTGTCCCAATTGTAATGTATTTTAGAACACTGAAGAGCTCTGCAAAGGAGGTCGTCTCAGTCTTGCCGTTTTTAACTCAGTTTCTCTAGGCAAAAGAAGATATTGCAAAATCTAGATTGTAATGCTGGCAGAGAGCAAGGCTTAGCTGATCTGTCAGCAGATACAGAACTTAATCTGTTTTGTTAATCTGTTTATTTAATTCTGCACCTTCATGATCTGTAGACATTTTTAGGTTCACCAAAAGCTATAAAAGAATGTCACAGTAACATCTTACTACGTTACAGTGGTTCACAGTTCAGGACACTTTAATGCTTATATTTCATGCATCAGGAAAAAAATCCTGTGAGTATTCTTTATTTGTGCCAAACAGAACTGCCTTTATATCCTAATACTCTTAAATACACCGTGCCTCAGAAACTTGTGGCATGTTTCTTGCACATTGAGGAAATAGCAGTTTTATGTTTTTATCTATTTTGCTTTCAGCTCTTTTGTAGATTTGAAATATTTTATAATGCTATTATTACTTTTGTAATAAAATTTTATTATATGCTTAGAATAAAAATGTCTTTAGGAGTTAGTCTCTGGACCTCAGTGTTTGATTTTGTAACAGCTGCACACTGATGGTGCGGTCTTTGAATGTGAGGTACTTTCTATGAAGTATCCTTCATAAGCCTGCTGGCTTCTTCGTGTTTAGGGTGAATTTCTTGCACAACCAACTGAAGACAGAGTATGAAGGGCTGCATTCACACACTAAAGAGCTGAAAACTTCCTTGAACAACTCTCAGCTGGAGCTGAATCGTTGGCAGGCTCGCTATGATGAGCTGAAAGAACAGCACCAGTCCATGGATATCTCTCTGACCAAGCTGGATAACCACTGTGAGGTGAGTAGCTGCACGTGGATATGCTGCTGTGTTTCTGTTAGAGAGCTAACCTTCATCGTGTGAAGTTTTTGGCCCACTGTATATAGAAGGTAAAGCTACGTGGTCATAACACCCCCATCTACTTTGAAGTTTATCGATTTGTATCCAGGGCTGCTATGCTGTTGTGTTAGCTTGGTTATGGTGCACTTCCAGGGAAGCCAGATGCAGAGGAGAGATTAATCTATCTTGTTTAATAGCTGCTGTCCCGTCTAAAGGGAAATCTGGAAGAAGAAAACCATCATCTCCTGAGTCAGATTCAGATGCTGAGCCAGCAGAATCAGATGTTACTGGAGCAGAACATGGAGAACAAAGAGCAGTATCATGAAGAACAGAAACAGTACATGTAAGAACCTAGAGATTTGAATCTTGAAACCTAAAAATGTCAAACACAGAATACAAATAATCTGTCAGGAGTAGAAGGAGACAGGGGAATGATAGGTCTACTTGATATCTGGCTAGAAAGGGGGATGTTTAGGAGGAGATATATGTAATGGGGAGAAGCTACAAAATTTCTTTGCATTTCTTTATCACAAAGGAGTGTTCAGGAGACACCTGGACAAGCACAGCTCTTTTCAAATAGTATAGATGAACCAGTGTGGAAAACTTAGTTATAAAAGATGGAACACTAAACCCAGTGGTACTTCTCAAAAGTTTCTGAAGAGCTTGTAAAACAGCTCAGTTGCAACAAAAATTTAGCCTTATGAGATTTATTTTATATTTAGATTCCTGAACAATAGCAAATATTCATCCTCTTCTAGTTTTTGTCATTTGCATTATAAAAAATACTTCCTTTGATGTTATTTTTAAGGATTCAAGTGTTAACATAAACTGCTGCGTTCCCTGTGCATAGGGTGGCATGCTTCAGTGAGATATGCCCCGTTTCAACATATTGTACGTTTACAATGAATCTTGTTCTCACTGTAGTGAATTTCTCTTATAGGTGTGAAAGAAGGAAGGAAAGTGTTCTTAATCCCAAGAATTTTAGTCTAAGCACCTCAGGATGATGTGGGAGTTACTGAGTTTTGTTTCAGTACCGGATTATATGGTTGGAATGTTAGAAATTATTTGCTGAAATTGGCTGAATACAGTTCAAATATACACTAGGCGTTTTTATCCAGATGTCTGACAGTTCTGTGATGGAGGTTCATTAGACCTAGTACTTGAATGAAAAAAAGATTTGCTAACATCCGTTGTGCAAGGCAATAAAATAATGAGTAAAAAAAAAAAATAGTAAGAGTACATGGCACTGCTGAAAGTGATTTGACACTGCTCACAGGAGACCAAAGTAATCTTAAAAAGATCAAACATCATCCTCTAGTTACAACAGAGTAAGCAGAACAGGAATAAAATATCACACAGTTATCACACAGACAAGAAGTTTAAACTATTTTAAGAATCTTAACCCATGAATAATTGTCAGTGATCTGTGAATAAAAATGAACAAATTTTCAAAAAAAAACCAAAATTAGATTAATCTTAACACCCTCCAAGCAAACACTGCCAGAGTTCTTAGTGAGTAATCTGGCACCAATCTACTATTGTTCTTTCACCTTTCATGCTTACTGCACAAAAGTCACCCATCAACAAGTTTGGCAGGCTTTTGCATTTGCCCTCTCTAAACAGACAGTGGATGAGCTCAGTAGGTTTCTGGAGGTTATGCGACAAGAAGATATTTCAGTCTCTTTCCTCTTTTGGTGGCTTTTGGACTTCAATTTTTTGATTATGCTTAATTTCATACAGATAGTTCAGAATATGTTTTTCCCCCCTCACAGTGACAAATTGAATGCCTTAAGGAGACACAAGGAAAAACTTGAAGAGAAGATAATGGATCAATACAAGTTCTATGATCCTACTCCAAAAAAGTAAGTCCTCTATGGGTTCAGCTCTGCTATTGTGATACAGATTTGTGAGGGTGAAAAAGAGCTCTCCATAACTGGAGATAACAGAAATTTCATCTGAAATAAGGACAGTGTCACCTTCAATTCTCTCTTCACTGTCACTCCACAAGTAAAGCAGCAGGTTGTGTTAATAAAGAGCACGGTACCTCATGTGGAGCCCTCTGTTTTAATACTGGAATCTGAAAAAGTATTAATTGGAAAAGAGACACTTTGATGAATATTGTATTGTCCCTATCAGGGGGGAGGGAACCCCAATATGGCGAGTAAACAGCAGTAGGAGCTTCCAGAGCTGTTCTTTCAAAGGGGATAAGTAGTCTGTCAGAAAAGACTTAAAAAAATTGTATTAAGAACAACAAAAAAGAGCCAGGCTAATTCCACCACACACAGTTCTGACTTGATAGCCTTAGCAAAGAGAGGGAGTAATCTTTAAAGCAGTTTTCTTTCCTTCTCAGTCTGTTCCTCTAGTAGAGTTTTTCACACTGTTAAAATGTGGGTCCATATGTGTAGTTTAGGTTTCTAGAAGAGGGAACGGTTGTCTTTCTCACATCTCTCATGCTGAAGAAATATTTCTGAAAAATAATTTTGAGTTTGGGAGAGAAATGGATCTTAAGCTGTGAAATTTATGCTGTGTCTTTCCAACCAATTCATGACAGTAAATAAATAATGTAGGATGGCTTGAGCATGGATGTAAACTTCTCTGGGGAGTATTTCTTGTAGCATTTTATGAATCCCATTCACAAAACCTACTTTTTCAGGAAAAACCACTGGATTGGAGCCAGAGCCTTAGTCAAACTAATCAAGCCAAAGAAGGAGACTACAAGGGAGCGGTTGAAACCAGCAGCAGAAAGCCCTCCATGGCATTCTGAATCCCCCGAGACGGTAAATTCTCCATCTGCCTCCCAAAAACTGAAACATCAACAAGAGACTCAGGATAATACCTCTCAAGGGTCAAACTCTGTGGAAGAGAGAGAGAACCCTGGGGGTTCTTCAAACAAAGGTAAGGAATGCCCAGCCTAGATTCATGAGTATTTTTTTAAAATATTTAAAAAATATTTTTTAAAGTTTTAATATATGGGATATGGTAGTACTCCACATTATGTGTTATATCCTGGTTTTTAGTAAATTAAAAGTTTTAGTAAGCAAGAAAACCGCTAAACTAAAAATCTGAGTAAACTAGAAGGTGGCGGGTTTGTGTTTGGTTTTGGTTTTAATTTAGTTTGTTCCTTTTATCTACTTCTCCCTTCAGCTTTTGTATACAGTTTCTCGGTTTGCTTGAGTGTATTGCATGTTACTGAATAAGTTGGTGGAAATACTTCATTTACTGGGGTTTTGCAACAAAGCAGGTTAAAGTTGGACCATGTAATGTTATGATCCATTAGCAACTATTCTTCAAATGAAGTTGGCTCCAAATGGGTCTTACAGCCACTGCCAGGAGATGGCGCACATGCAAAAGAAATTACAGAAAATGCTAATTGTGTGTAATCTAATTATTTTGGAGAATGATACTGTTTTGACTTTGAATCAAACTAAGATTGTAATGTAAAATTATTTTTTTGAACACTAAAGTGAACATAAGGAATATGGAATGATTTGTTTTTCTGTTTAGTTAATTCATACAGTACGTTAAGCATCTTAATTATGGGAAATTTAAAAGAAAGTTCCTCAAAATAAATACTCTGTGGTCTTTATTAAAGATAATATATATCCCAAGCTTTGTTTATTCTACTGAGATCCCTTCTGTCAGCTTCTATATATAGATCATTGTCCTTCAGAAATACTTTTCAAGAAGCAGTTTAGAAATTAATCCTTGAGTCATAATTCCTGTCTTCCCACTGTGGAGTGTGGGGAACAGACTGGGGGAGCAGCTGAGAAAGGGTAGAACTGTTGTTATAAACTACTGCAAGTGTCTGGCTGGCTGAAGTTTTTGTCTTGATTGGGTTTTATATTTTCCTTTCTCCACTCTAATTCTTTGAGGTCATTGATTCACTTAAAATAAATATGCATGTCTTGGATGATTCATGTGATTCCAGGAGATGTTAAGTGTTTAACATGCATCCAAAGTTCAACCTGGGAATTTGGACTTGGATTTCCGCAGAACAGGGCCTTCGTGGGGTGCCAGGGATAACCCAGAAAGCCTCTGGTTATTCATTCTTTTTGATGTTACATGGAACACGCTTACGTTGAGATGAGCATCCGTACTAAAACCTAGAAGACACCTAGGAATTTTGAGTATATTATCACCAAGTAACATGCACATTTATTTGATTTTAGTTTATTAAATTAAAACATTTTGGGTGATCTAACATTAATTTCTTAATGGACTTGCTTATATTTTATGTATATGCATTAATCTATGCATTAATCTGAGTCAGATTAACTACGTGTTAATCAGTCCTCCAAATATATGTGTTAGTCTTTGTTTAGCCTTTTTTGTTTTTACTGGTTGTGTAGTCATTACTCTGTTTTAAGACACTTTAAGTTTTATTTACAAGGTTTTCTTTACTTTTTTTTCTTCTTCTTTTTGGGATACCTGGGTGATAACAATTTAGCTGCGCAGCGCAAAAAGATTGCCTTTTTGAGAAGCAAAATCAAGGATAAAGAAAAGTCTCCTAAGTCTCCATCGAATCATCAGTCTCTCTCTAATCGGCTCCGGTTCTGGTCTTCTTCCGACACCCCATCCTCTCCTAATGAACCTCTTTCTTTCCCGGAATTGGGAGATTTCTAACACCTTCTCTTTAGCGTTAATCTTCATTTATTTCTGACAAATATTTAAAAAAAAAAAAAAAATCCCACATGCCTTAAAAGAACACACACCTTAATAGAAACACTCAGCATGTCTTGACAATACTCTAAATACAAGCACAGATTAGTGAATATGGACTTAAGTTTTCCTCTAGAAGATGAATCACTATTGCACACTGTGGATCATTTCTTCAATGCAGCACATTTTTAGGGGACCTCATGGCATACAGTTTGCGTATGTATACTGGCTGCGGCGCATGTTGTAAGTAAGTGAAGTTGCTATGCGCTTCGCTGTTTTCTTGCAATCACATACTTGCATCTTGTCCAGTTGAAATGCTGAACTGATTTGCTGTTGCTATGCTTTCTACAATGTTGCAGTTCTACTAAAATACAAATCAAAAATATAAGCAGTCTCAAATCCTGGATACTTTTCCAATATTCTGTACCACTAAATGCTAAAAATGGCAGGTTTTTTAACATCTTTGTTTCCTTTTAAATACTCTAGTTTTGAATATAGAGTGGAAGCTACTGGCAAAATTATTCTCCACAAAGTGTCTTGACGTTTGCATTCAAACCTGATGTTTAGCAAGGATTTACACTTCCAGCTATGAAAATTCATCTTGAATTGAGCTAAAGTTTCAGTTTCTGCTGCTTCATTTTTGACAGATTTTTTTGGAAGAAGAAAGTAGATTTGTTTTCTTAAGACTGGGAATAACCTTCCTCATGGGTCCATTTCCCAGAATTCTTATGGCCTGATATTCATGACCTGTTGGCTTCTGAAATGAAATGTGTGGGTCCAGTTCCCACTCTGTGTTAGAGAACGTTGCGCAGCGTGGGCAGTACGTTATGGGGAGCTCATCAGAGAGGCCAAAAGATCTCCTTTCTCTGAGAATTGACCCTCCGTGGCACAGCCAGGGACGCTGGCACAGCAGCCTGTTGCTGACCGTTTTGGGATTTGTAGAGAACGTCTGCCTCCAGGGCAATTAATTATTCTGGCATCTATGGAAGGTGTGAAGTGCATCTACACGGTCAATTGGAAATACAGATTTGCACGCCAAGCTTCAGCCAGTAATTGCCCCCGCAGGCGTGCCCTGGGAGGAAGTGCCAGCCCTCTGCTCTGGAGCCCACACAGACAGTGGGAGAAAACACTGTTTCTGAAGTCAGATTCCAGGGGTCATCTAAGCTGACAATAATTTCGTCCATTCCTCTTTTTGCTGCTGCTCAGTGCTCTGAACTAACTGTCTGTCCATTGTCTCTGTGAGTTTTTTATTTTAACCACTGCACGCTGCTGTGTTTTGATCATTTAGTGTTACTATCAGTTAAGCAAGTACTCCATAGAAATACATGGAAAACTAGAATCTTTCATCTCATTAAGGGTGTTTCCTATAGTAAATTCTTTAAATTTTGTTCTATTTTATGTGCACCTACATTCACATTACAAGAAATGGATTAACCTGCCTCATCACTAGGAAAGATGTCTTCAGCTTTCTGAATCTAAATAATACTCTAGCAGGTAGTTTCTGTTGTTATGCTAAGAACCCAGGAATTCCACTTAAAAATCATTGCACCAGAGCATCATAAGAACAGCAGAGTTTTAACTTTGTAGAGACTGAGCTCTTGCCCCACAGCAAAGATCTAAACCTGAAGGCAATTAGCTTACTGTGCGGATCATGCTAGATAAGTCCCAAATCAGCATTATTTCTTTTTGAATAAGAGCGTGACTACTGTCACTCTTTCCTTATTCTATTTTATTACTGAAGTAAGTGCTTATAAAATGTACCTGCAAGGAATAAGGTTGTGGGAATTTCACACCTCACTTATCTTTTCTGCATTCATGACTTTGCTCCTTGTCTTCCTCCTTTCACAGTAATTGTTGCATGTATAATATCAACCCGCCCACTGGCACTAAGCAGCCCTTGTCACTCCCACACTTTACAGAGAGCACACACGATTGAAAAACTGGTGGCAGAAATTTCCTCTCCAATACTGAACTGTTTATGGAAAAGCTTGCAAAACTAGCGCCTCTGTTGTGCGGTTTCTTTGTGCCTGCTTGTCATGTTTGTATGGGCAGATAAATACAAATCTCCTAATGCTGTTTTTCATTGACTCGTATTCATTTACCTCTCTCCCCCTCAGTGCTAATGGACCTAAAGCAAAAGAGGACTTGCCATCACGGAGGCAGCAATGATAATGTTGAAATCTCAGCAGACTCTGCAACAAAGCACTACTGTGTGGAACTGGGTCCCAGGACTTACTCAACTTCAGCTATTCATCTGCACTCTTCCACCCCCATCCCCAGGCTCCAAAACAGACCAAAAGGTGTGCAGTGCATTTGATGTACCAGCTGTTAGTACAAGTCAGTCTACTTTGTAGTTCCTGCTTGGGTGAAACATGGCTTCTACTGGCGTTCAAGTACAAAACCAGAGCACTAGTGTTTTCACTCCTACTTTATCTGCTTAGTGGTTTAATTGATCAGATGCAGGGTTTCCTCACTCTTGTAATGTCATCAACTCGACAGACCACATTTGGATGTCAGTTCTCCCGTGGTTCCCTGCCCAGTGATTCCCAGGAGTGAAGATGGCTGCTCCTTCAGTTTTGGCTCTGTAAAAGCCTCTTGATCAACTCAGACCTCTACACTGCTAGAATGCGTTGGAGACTGACCCAAAGGATTAATGTTCCTGTGTTTAATATTGCCTTTAAAGTTTTCTGTTCTTTTCAGGCTATAATTCAGAAGATAATCTATGTGAACAGTCCCCTGAGGTAGAGTTTGCAAGCACCAGACAGCACGGTAAGCTTGTAGCATATATGAGCGCTCTGAACATTAAGACTTGTTTCTTTGCATCCACATGAACCATCCTGGAGCATTTTAGTTAAATTAACATGATAGAACGAGATGTAGTAATGCAACACCATTTTGGGAATGTGGGTCTAAGTACTTCTATTTTTCTATTGGGAAGCTTTTAATGGACGTTTTCCCAAAATAAATATTCAAAAGCAGTGCTGACATTGAGACAAGTTCTCTTGCCCCAGCCACAGACCCGTTAATGCACGTCCTACAGATTTGTTGCTGATTTTTCTGGACAATCTTCAGTTCCTTCCTTAAGAGAGTGAATCAGCAATAAAAAAAAATAGGGGTGGGGGGTGTGGATACGTGGCAGGAACACTGGTGCAGCATCAGCACTGCCTGCTTAGAGATTTGTGGAAGACTTAATTTGCTGGTTGGTTACCAGCTCCTTCCAAAGAAACAAACTGAGAAAGAGACAGCAGCTTATTGTTGAACTTCTTCAGTATTTACATTACTTTGTTTATAGATCCTGTTAAAACAAAACCCAGAACCTATTTCTTTGTGTGAAAAAATAAGTGAGAAAAACAAGATGGATCCTGAACAGCTTGACTTGAAAAATGAAAATGGTTTCTACTCTGTCCAGACTTTGGCATCCTGTGTATATTACACTGTTAATGTTTTCAGAGTGACTTGGTTGCACAGGTCCTATTTTCAGAAGGCAGACTGTAGCCAAGTCTTTTAGAGAATCAGAGGAACTTAAGATCGGTTTGTTCAATGCATGTTTTGTGTTTTTCAGTGTCCAAGCCAAACAGTTTAGAGAGCAGCAGGAACGCTTCCAGCAGCAGTTCACCTCTCAATTTGAAAGGTAAAGCTTTTACAGCTGAGTTCTGACAAACAGAAAGTGAAATTCCATGAAACTGTGTGCAAAATGCCGTTTTCCTTCCAGTTAAATTTGAAGACTGTTGTTTTGAAATCGTAATGATTATGCAATCTGGATGTGGCTGTCTTGGGAATCAAAATTGCTGGCAAGAAGTGTTTTTCTAAGACTGGTTCTGGCAAGGGGTGGATTTTAAGGCAGGCAGTCTAGTTTTGCTTCAGTCTGACTGGCATCATATTGTGGAATGTATCAGGCCACTCTCAGACTCCTTTTACAATAACAGGTCTCTGGTGTTCTTACTCAGTATACAGCTTGTGTATGGAATCAGGGTGCTCTGGAGGTTTGCTTTTGCTGAAATTGTGCATCCTTGAAGGATGCCAGGTGACCTGGCAGTGTGGAAAAATCCACTTTCTGCTGAGGTTGGCTCTCGGATCACTCACAGCCAAGACTGGGAGATCTTCCAGTGACACAGAGGTGGTAAAGATGTCCCTTGCTATCTGTGTTATTCCTATTCTTTGGACGAGTAATTGTGATTGTTTAACACAGGGGCTCAAAATATGTACTGTAAGTCCTGATGTTTTAAAGTCCTGACTGTCTTGAGTTCTGTGGGAAAACAAAGTAAGGTCAAAGATGCCATCTAGACCATGTGGAAGTGGCACTGGATAATAAAGTTCCTACCTTGGTGAGAAATCTGCTGAAATGAGGGAAGAGCAGTGTCTTTAATGATATTTATGCTTCTCCTCAGGTTCCTTAGATCATATCCATGGTAGGACCGAGAGTCTCAGCAGTGAAGATGCGGTGCCAAGCAGAGAGGCACCAGCCTTGCTCCGAGACACCTACCCCTTTCACTCTGCTTCTGCCGTCTTAAGCCCTAGCAGCAGGCATGAGTCATCTTCTCACAGGAATGGTTTGATCTCTTACGATGTGCCTCAGAAGAGTACTCCATCCCAGTCTTACACAGGCAGGCAGCGATCTGCCTCACCTGGCAGCGAGATGGTAACTTTGGAAGAGTTCTTGGAAGAGAGCAACAGGCTGCCCCCACCAAGTGTAAGTCAATAGAGCTAGATAGCCCATCTCGCACGTCAAAAAACTGTTCAAAGCTGATTCAGGGGAATGAAGACAGGGGAACGAGGAAGGACAAGAAGATCCTTGTGCACATGTGTGGAACTTGCAGAGAACTATCAAATCTTGCAAAAAGAATGAAATAGTTCCAACAACTAAGGCAAAATTAACTTTCACGCAGCACTCTGCTAATTTTTCTGGTGTATCAGCTGTGGCAAGTCAGGTGCAGATAATTCACTGCAAGTACTATGTATTGGACTGCTGGGGCTTTTTAATATCAAACACTTGTAGTCAAGGTTTCATATTATATCATCAGTTTCAGGTCCAGGAATTTTTATTTGTGAACTGTTAAGTTTTCTGTGGAATTTTCAGATGCTAAATCTGTAATTAGAAATGAAACCTAACAGTAGTTTTCAATTGAATTGCAAAATATGCAGTTGTTAAAACCATCTCCTAATCTGAAAATACCATCAGTGCATTTGAGAGAGAATATTTTTCTTGCCTAAGGAAGTTCTCAATGCTTTCACCGTGCTGCCTGTTCATGTGCTGACTGGACTGTTCTGTTGGTTCAGTGACTGCAAGAATACGCCACACACTGAAGTGCTTTGTTAGAAATGAACTGTTTGTTTTCTAGATGGCATTTGCCTTTTACAGTAGTGAGGCGGTGCAGTATCAAGCATCTTAATATCTTAAGAACAATTCACTGATAGCATAAGTGAACAGATGTTTCTGTTTCATGAATGCCTTGGTAACAGCATTGAAATCAACAGAGCTGTACCATTTTATGGCATCAGTAAATCCTGGTCCTTGAATTTTCAGAGCAATATTTAAATATACCTCCTATTCCCTCATTATCCTAAATACAGTTCTTAGATTTAGAGATGTTTAAAATTTTATTTTTGTGTGTGTCTGTAACTACCTGACCATGTTTCCATTTTCATTCTTTCTGTCATCCTTGTTCCTTTCCAGCGTCGGCGCAGTTTAAATGAGAGTGAAATGATTTCATTGCACCAATTTCTGTTAGAAGCTGATGCACTGTATCCCTCTTGCTACTCCCTATGTCCTTCCCTCCGTCAGAAACCTTCGCAGTCACTCGAATCGGTCCTCAGTCATTCATGTCTCGACAGCGTGAGGCACAGAACAGGCAGGGGAAATAGGAGATCTACTTCACTGTATATCCCCAGGGTATCCGTTGTTCTTGCTATGAAGGCAACAGCTCCCAACTTACCACAGCTTTGCTAGCATTATTAATACCTATAGAAACATACTTGTAACTCTTAGCTGTTATTTTAAAGGCTGCCAGATCACCTGCATTAATTGCTCATAAAGTATTTCTAGTGCTTGTTCATAAACGTGTATGTTTTTGGAGGACTAGTCATTCTGTAATGTTAATGTGCGTAACAGAAGTTTAAAGTGAAGTTTAAAATAACGCTAACGCTTTAACATTTAGTTGAGCATAGAAATCTTCCCACTGCACTATTACCATTGATGGTGTTCACTTCTAGCAAACGAATTTTGTGACTGGAAGAAACATTTGGAACACTAGTGAAATTATATATTAAGCTTTAACAGATTCTCTAGAGAAAAGTAAAGAAATCATTTCCATGAGCACATTTTTCGTGAAGACAGCATGTTCCTTAACTACTCTGAGCATGCCTCGTACTAATTGTCCAATGGCAGCTGATCAAATATCACTGTTTTTGAATTGCATGGACCACCCCCATGAAAAATTCATCATATATTTTCTTTTACTGCCAGGTTAATTGTCTGACTTGAAATTTGCGCGTTAATTGTGGGCAAGCCATAATTTCTCCATATTTGTAATGAATTGTTTTACATTTTGTTATATTGTACCTGCAGATTTTAACAAGTATATTATATTGACCGGGAGAGGTGAGCAAAATCAATGGAGAAGCAATGAAACTTTCTTGTCATGCCAGCACACCTCCCCAGGGTATTCTCTCCTGTTGTATCCCTGAAGTCACAGTAGAGTGTTATCCAGATGAACTGTATTCTGGAAGATGACAGACAATAATTGATATCTGCTGATCCCAATGGCTGTCATTAATATGATAGTGATGTTACAGTGAGAGTGGCTGATGTGAAAGGAAGCAAAACAGCTGCTGCCCAGGTTGTGAGCAAGATGAATTTTTTAAATTTAAGACAATTAATCTGGCAAACCAGGCTGTCATGTTCTAATTATGATGAGCATGTTCCTCTTTTATTTGGATTTAAACCCACTGTAAATATTTACATCTTTTGTTCCCCACTTGAAACATAAAATCTATAGTTGTATTTGGGTTGAATTAAGTGGGAAGATTATCTGAGCACAAAGCTCTGCATGATTCTTTAAACAAAAAGTGTTGTCATTAATGTTGCATGTGCATATTTTCTCACACCAGGACACCTCCAGTAACAGAGATGACTTGCTCAGCGATTATTTCAGGAAAGCAAATGAGCCTTCAGCTACTGGGAACGTGCTGGTTCAGCCATCTAGAAAGGAGGCTGCTAAGATGCCCACTAATCTTGCTGCTCCAGCTGTAAAGATGGCCGTCACCAATGAAGAAGGAAGGATGGCTAAGCCTGGAAATTACATGAAGCCAAACCTCAGACAAGTCGAACCTGAGCCTCTGGCAAACTCCCAGGGATCCCTTAAGCTTCCTCACACACCACAGCACCAGTCTGCCAGCGGGATGCGGCAGATGGCACAGCCTCAGCAGCCTGGAACCGTGAGCAGGAGGAGTACCTCACTGAGCAGGGCATTTAGCTTAGCCTCTGCAGACCTCCTCAGAGCCACCGGCCCGGAGACGTACAGGCAGGAGAGCCCTCAGAAGTCAGCTGCAGACCTGCGTGGGGGCAAGGATGCTGTCAGTCAGACCGCAAGAGTTTCTGTGCCAACAAGCTCCCAGGCAACCTTAAGAGAGAGGCCACAGTCTGCAAAGGTGGCAGGTTCCTTGCAAGGTGTCGATTCCCGCTGCCGGCAGCTTGACGCAAGGCGCCTTTCTCTGGCCCCACCGAAGGATGAGAGGCCGCTCTCCTTCCATCAGTTCTCTGCCTCACCGACTGCATCCACCAGCAATCTGAACGTGCAGCAACAGGAGCGTGTGAACCCTGGGCAACACTACTCACCTGCATCGCACACTAAAATCAAGCCCAAGCCAGCTCCTCGTACTGGCGAGGTGGCTGCAGTGGCTCCTGCCAGAGCTGTTTCCAGCAGCACTGAGGGAAATATTTCCCTAGGGCAAGGCCAGGGTGATGCCCTCCTTACCAAGTGCCAGGGTAAGCTGCCAGAAGGCAGTGCTGGGGCTGTGGAGGAGCCCATGAGAGGAAGCAGCTCCAACAGCACTCCTGGGTCTCCGGACCCGCAGGGGGATCAGCAGACAGTTTGGTATGAGTATGGGTGTGTGTAACCCATGCGTGCAGCTAGTAGTATGCACGTTTGGCACGGCTGACATCCAGGTAGCACTTGGCTAGACACTGTGCCAGATCTTAACAGGCATCACCTGCATGCTGCTCTGAGTGTTCTCTGGGTACTGTTTTCTGGTTGGACAAAATGTGATTAAGAGAAGCAAGGAGCAAAACCCCAGACCTTCTTTTGACACTGTTGTGCCTAAAACAAAGTGGAAGCCTGACCTAGTCTCACAGCAGGCTTGGCACCTGATTGTCACAGGTGCTGAGCATTCCCAAACTCCAGGAGAAGCTTAGCAGGGTCCTCTGTTGTTGCTGCACTGTGCACCCCTTCTACCTGCATTAAAGAAGTTTCACAGGTCATGTGTGTATGCTGAACCCAGCCCTCCATTGATAAATAACTTAACCATACCGAAAAGGTCATGTAAAAGCCAAACTTCTCCCCCAAAGACAGAACCAGACACTTGGCTTAAGTAGCTTAAAGAGAAAGCGGAAGAGTAAAAGTGTGTGGCTTTAGCCATGGATCTGTTAAAATCAATTGTTCTTGCCTCAGCCACATTTTATAGAGGTAACATGTAGACTTCACGGGGCACATCTTAACCTTCTCCGCTGGGACTGTGTAAACACAGAGAGGCCAGTGTAATTACCCTGCTGCCTTCACTATAGCTGCAGCTCAGTGGATCCTTGACTCTGCAAGCCAAGTGGTGCTGCCTTTTGAAAATTGCTTTATCTTTTATACAAACACTGGAACTAATGCAGCCTTTCAGGGTAGATGCCATTTCAGTTGCAAAGGTGGCATCTCATGTACAAAAGTGTCTTGTAAGTATGTATATAAGAAGCTCGAGTATTGTATAGGAATGCCGTGTAAATTGTATTATTACATCCTTTTGTGCGTGACAGCCCACATCGTAAGTAATATGTGGGATTTTGTCTCTTAGAAATCCTTGATTATGTCTCCAAGGTCTTTGCTTAGTATAGAAAGCAAAGTAATTTTGTATACATGTGAAAGAAATCTACTTTAAAAAAATCTATTTATGTGCAAAGAAGTTCCTTGTATGTTACTGTTCAGAGTGTCATCAGCTGCTTATGTATATATGATCAAATGTGTATCTTTAATTCTATTTCATGTTTGTAAAGCTGTTTTTCTTGCAATAGACTAAATCCTTACAAAAAATAATACTTGTTTTGTTGGTTCTGATTTAATGTAGTAAAAGCTAAAAGTGATTCAGCTGAGGATGTTTTTGTTATCTAGTATGTAGTAATCCCATTCTGGAAACTACAAAATTGTTTATAATAAAGATTAAAATAAAGTAGATGGATGTTGTACGTATTTTTCTTTTTTTTCTTGGAGAAAAAAAAAAAAAAAACGTGATTCATGGTGCTGGATGGAGATCTGTCTGCAGTAGCTTTGTGTAAGCCCTGTGTTGATTTGCATCTCTGTGTGGCAGAGTTGCATTTGGTTTTATAATGTTGCCACAGAAGGCGTATCAGAAATCTTTCCATTTGATTGTAACCTTCTTACTGAAGATTTTTAGAGGATTGATCATGCAGATTAGGTGACTTCCAGGTCACTGTAGAATCAGACCATTAGATTTTTATTCCTCTCTGACCACTTCAGACAGTGCCAAGCATGCTGTCAGTTTTGACCAGGCTTGCATCTTGTGCAATCTGTTTCATGCTTAACGCTCAGGATGCCTTACAAAAGTGAGAAATTATTCATCTTTGAGCATGAAGAGAATGACAAAAGGAATTTTCTGCCTTCTCTGCTATTTTAATTGCAAACCATAGTTTTGTAGCAATTTTTAAATTATGTGCTATACAGCAGTTCTAGAACATACTGTGTTTTTGGTAAACTGAAATTCTTCTTCCAGAAATTTCCTCTCAACATTGATTCTTGGGGAGATCACTTAAGGTGAAAGAGGGGTGTTTCTCCCTTGTTTCAGCTGCTCTTTGAAGGCATGTGCTTGATTACCCTGCAGGCAGGACTGCTGAGGAATTGATCTGTGAGTTGTCAATGTAGATCTGCTTTTGCTATAAAGACTTGCCCAGTCACTTACACCTTAGTTGTTGTTTTTTGAGTTATTTACAATTATTTTCTTTCTCATTTTTAGTCACTTTGAATAAGAATGTACTTACATCGTTGCTTTCAAGTATGGGATAATTTAAAATACAGATGTTACAACATGAAACAGCAGTTGAAGCACACGATGCTGTGGTGCTTGGGCCTTCCTGAGAACATTAAGGAAAATTTTGGTATAGGTGCCCGTCCTGCTGCGACAGGTGCAGTCATTTTGCAGTCTGCTCAATTTGCTCATTGTTTTCAACTCGTCTTTAATAGACGTGGGGGCTCCCAGGTGAGCGTGCTCCTGCTGTGTGCTTCACCACCGGGTAAGAAATGGGGTGGGCGGGAGAACAAGGCCTGCCCGCAGCTCCGGTGCTGCTACTCTTTGCCTTTTCTGGGGTGCCCCGAGCAGCCATCGTTAGGACAAACGGATGTTTTGTGTCAAAGCTAACACGGGAGAGAAGTCAGTCGCGTTTCAAGAGAGGAAGTTATCTGCAAATCTTCCTGCTGCTGGGCAGGTAGAGCTGCCGCCAGGCGCCGGCTTGCGTGAGGGGGCAGGAGCTGCCAGGAGAGGGTTTTCTGTGAGGGAAAAGTAGAGGGGACGGAGATGCCAATGCCAGGCTTCTCAATTCCTTCCACAAAGAAAAGGGGAACCGCAGTGAGATGGCGGCTGTTTGGATTTGCACAACCTTGAAGGCCACCGAGCCTGCTGTGCGTGGCCAGGCCCGGCTGTTGGGAGTGCCGGCAGCAGGCCGGCGAGCCTGGGTACGCGTTGAGCACCAGGGAACAGGGGCCTCTCTGTAGGAGCCCTAGGCCTCAGGGCAGCTTTCCCCAGCTCTGCCTGGCAAAGGGGGTGTAGGGTGCTGGTATTTCCCGACACGGAGGGAAGTGTGGGCTCTGAAGATTGGTAATTATGGGTGCTAAATAGTGCTGGGAGTGGTTCTGGACATAACGCTTCAAGTACCGTTCAGTGATGGAGTGCCTCAGTTTGCTTGTTTGTATACATGGCTCATTAACTATCTAGATTGTGTTTGCTATTGAAGGACAGATTTTTGAAAGGGATCTGATCCCAAGGAGTCAGGTAAATTGCGGATAGGTTTCTGAGAAAGCCAAGGGGCTGCGCCTTTGGCAGCACCCACTCCCTGCAGCGTGATCAAACTCTGAAGTCTGTAAAGTTGTTTGACATGAGGAAACAAATTTTGGTTAAAATTGCATGCATTGCATGATGATGGTATTTGCTTGAAGTAAAAGAAATGGCTGCTGTGGAAACTGCTTCTAAGGAATGGCATGCTTTGCAGTGACAGAGTATCTCCTTACCAGTAAGTCTGAAGCCCAGGTCCTTTACAAAGACACTGTGTCATGGAAACTGTTTTCCTATTAGATATTTTTCAGCTGTTCCTCAAACTTGGGAGCTGATTGTGAAGTGAACAGACTTTTTCTGATTTCAGTTAATTGAGTGCAGAATATAAAATCTCCCGAAGAATTAAAAAAGAGAATTTTTTTTTCCTATAATGAGGGAAGTTCCAAGTGTAAATGCATTGTAAAAATGACTAGTACTTAGTTTGGTAAAATCATGCATCAAGGAACACCATGTGGTTGGAAATTATTTCTGATCATCCAGGTGTTTGGGGGCATATTAGTTCAGCCAAAGGTAAATGACTTTAAGACAGAACATGGAAGAAATGCTCCAGAAATTGCTAGTTCATGTGAAATGACTACAACTATAATCTGGATTTTAAATGGATGTAAAGAGATCAACACAATTTTTCTTTTTTTTTTTTTTTTTTTGTTTAACATGAACCCAGCTGTGCTGAGAGCATTTGAATTGTGGTTTTTAATTTTTAGATGAAGGGGGGGAAAAATCAGTTGCAGTAAGCTTCACCAGGAAAAAATATCCTAACATTTGCTTCTCTGCCCATCAGAGTTGTGGACTATCAGATCCTGGTAGCACTGAGATGCTCAAGGCAAGGTGGAAAAGTTGGGAATTTTTTACAAATCGTCAGTACCAGACAGAATTAACCTGACCTAACAGTGCACTGTGAAATAGTTTGGTTACTAAAAGTAACAAATGAAGTTATCATTATGAAGGGTTGCTAGACTGGAGAAATAGACTGGGATGTGAAAGTCTATCTTGAAAGCTGGTACTAAAATCTGCTGTAAGAACTAAGAGAGAACGTCATCAGCTGGAAAGTGGTGAAAAAACCTTATGATTTAAGAGGCTGCTGGCAGGAGTTTAAGGTGACTAGGACAAGCTATGGCAAGTTTTGCAAAACTAAATGATGTTTTTTCAGTAACAAGGATTTCTTCAAAAGTATAAAGAGAACAGTAGATAGGAGAGCTGCAGTTTAAAACCTTCTCAGATGGGAAAGTCTTTAAAAGGCTAACTTGGGTCCTAAAGACAGTGAAATGTGAGTTGATGAACTGTAACATAAAATTGAGGTTAGTTCATATTTGGAGGACTGTGAAGAATCCTGTTGAAGAGTAACATGGATGAGTGGGCTTCCCAGTGGCAGAAAACCTGAGTTTACCCCTGCTGAAGATGTGGAAGGGCCAGTTTATTGATTGTTGTTTTTTTGGGGGGGCAGTAGTGATGGGGGAGTGAAATTGTTTTTTACTTAGGACAATGAATATGTGGCTATTCCACAGAAAATAGGAACCTAAAACGTGTCCAAAACACAGAATGCCATGGAAACTGTCAGCTCTACCATTCCCAGATGCTGTTCTGATCAGCTCTAGTTAAAATACTTGGATGTTTTCAACAAAAGACCATCATAACTGAGGATTAGGTAGCTCTGATGGTGAGGCTATACCAAAGCACGTAATGTGTGTTGTGTACCAGAGTGGGGAAGAGTAGTAGATCTAAGCATTGACATTAGCCTGTGAAAAGCATGTATTGCGCAAGGGGAAAACAGAAGGAGCCCAGCTCCCTGTAGAGATGCTACCAGGATGGAGGGAAGAGCAGTAGCAAGTCCTTGTTTTTCAGTTATACAAAATGGGAATGTTAATGTTTATGTGGATTATCACTGCAAAAGTGAGACAGAAATTAGTTATTTTCCTACTATCCTCACAAAAATGGGTGCTTGAAAGGATTTAAATCCAGCTTCATAGGAAAGTTGACCCTTGCAGGCAAAGCATAGATCAGATAATTGGAATTAAATGGAGCCAACACTGCCAGAAAGGGCCTCCCCTGGAATACTCTTAGAGAGGGGTGCTGATGACTGGAAATGAGATCAACATGAGTGAGCAGAGGTCTGGAAAACATGATCTGTGAAGACTGAAAAAATGGGGTTGTTTAGTTTACAAAAGAAAAGTCTAAATGGGACAGCATGATTAGTCCTCACACATTTAAATGATTAACATTGAGAAAGGTAGCAATAGACTGTTTCTTGTTCGTTCACAGGACAAGAAAAAAATAAATTAATTGGAAACATGGGAGATTAAGAGCTTTATATTACTGCAAGCTTTTTAAGAACAATCTTAGCCAGGGGATGGAGACATTGCCAGAGGACAGGCAGAATCCTCCTTAGTGGCAGTTTAAGAGAAGAAGCTATAGCTCTGGAGGAGGTAGTCAAGGTTTTCTTATTGGGCCTTGGAGAAGGGAGATGGTCTAGATGACCTTCCTGCTGCATTTCTGTAGCATCTGACATGTATAGCACCAGTTTAGCTCCAGTCTTTTTGAAGCTTGCTGCTTCTGGTTCTGCAACATGCAAGCCAGGAGCTTTTCAATTCAGTGGAGTTACTTAATCATCACACACATTAAAATGATTTGACCAAAGCAAGTGAAAAGCAAGAATTGCCACTTGCACTGAATAATAGCAATTTGTCAGCTTTAATAGCTGCTGCATAATTCACGGAGATAAAAGGCTACAAAAACTGTAATTTCTTTTCATTTTTAGAGTTTTAAATATGGCCCAACATGCAGTTGCTGACTGTGTGTGATGGAGCCTGCAATCTGCAACACACGCTGTTCTGTCCCCCTGGAAGTGATGAGGGCAAGTGACCCAAGCCACCAAATCCCTTTATTTTAGCGACGTGCTTTACGGTATCTGCATGATGAGACAAGCAAAATAGAATGACCGGATGAAAGAAAAGCAAACGATGATTTTTCGGGAGTTTATGTTGCTCTGTAATTTTTTTAAGTTTGTGGAAGTGACTGTTTCTGCTCCACTTGCAAGGCCTGAATTAGCAGCTGTGCTGGTCAAGTGCTGCCTTTTTAGCACACTCTGATGGACATATATTGTGTCTGATGAGCA